TGGCTTACCAAAATTTTAGAGTTGCTATTTCATGATTTATTTCATGATTTCATGATGTAGCTCTTTAGTGCAATTGTAATAAAAAATTCGGTTACTCTTGTCAGCATCCTCACGCTATGAGCCTGATATTTCATACCAAATTATTGCTTAAGGTCGAGGCTTAGGACACACGCCCACAACACATCCAAATATCTCATTCCTCGCCGTGCACCGGTCTCAGCTCCGACGGTCCACGAGTTGTTTCCTCACCTGTGGCGGTCCCCCTCGTCTCCCTGCAGCTCCAGTGCCGTCCGAGGTCCTGTTCCGTCCAGTCTCCTATCGCTGCGGCCGTGCGATCGAGTCGTACACACGCGCGAAGAGCACCGCAGGACCTCCCCCGACCGGCACTGGCACCACACTGGCGGGCCGCGCCGCGCCGCGAGGTTCGACGGGACGGGCTGGGACGGTGGCGCTGGAGCGGCGCTGCCGGCCTGGGGAGGTGACGGCGGGACGCTGCTGGTCGGAGGAATAGTCAAAGGCTGACGGAATGGCCAAAGGGAAGAGTTTCGTAAGGGACAAAGTCAGCGGGGGAGAGTGACGACAGGCAGGACTAGAGACGGTGATATCAGGAGAGGCAATGTCTCTGTCCACGTCCTGGGAGACAAGGTCATAGGGGACGAGCTATACGAGAAGGAAATGTCAGGGGAGACAAACTAGAAGTAAGACGTCACCGACGCCGCTGTTTACGGTCGTGCATGTGTTCCGATCGCTGCAATCCCTGCTGTCAGCATACCGCCGAAAAAACAACTGTCGCTGGGTGCATCCGAGTGACCTATCGCTCAGCGAGACTGGGGACACGACAACAAGCCATACCGGACACTCGGCACTCAGCAATACACGGCACTCCACTTCGCATCTGCAGTAGACACGGCACAGGACGCTCTCGAGATGCGGTATGTGGGGCTGCTTGATCCCACGACAAATGACGCGTGGCGAACGGCTTCCTGTCATTTGTCAGACGTTTTTATGCCGGACTTTTTGTGACGGCGCTTTGACTGACCGACCGTTTATTATATCCGGCGGAGATGTCCATAGTTCCCGTCTCGGAAACTCGATCACTTGGTAAGATATTCGGTATCCTAGTTCAAATCATTCAGCAAGGAAACGAGATAGGTACGATTCGCTATCCAATCCAGGTAAAGGACAAATTAGAAACCGTTCAAATTAGAAACCGTCGGGGAATGGCAAGGCTAGGCCGTTTGAAAAGGCCGAACGTAAAGTCATTAGTCCGGGAAGAGGGCTCGAGTCGTTTGGGCGTGGGATGTCTAACTTCCGGAGTGGAAGTGCGGAGCATATGAGCCGTCAATTGGAGCCAGCCGTGAACGATTGGTGAAGTCTGTTCCGATAGTACCTACGCGGCGGGGACTGCCACGCCCTAAGCGACCGGAAGGTGTCACCGTTTGAATTTGAGTCGAATTTGTCCGTTGGGAAGTGATTCACACAAGATGCCATCGTAACGATTATTGTCCCGATATGTTCGGTCGGTAGGATATTTCAAATCGTGAGAATCCAAACGGCACCGACATAACAACGCAATGGTAATCAACGATAGCGACCATGAACTGTAATTGGAAACAAGGAAATGATCCAACCAACCAGAACATTTGAACTGATGACCAATTATTGGGCTACCGTCTTTGATTTTGAGTAAGTAATCAATGACATCCCTTGCTGCTTCAGCAAGCACGTATAGGTACTCGTAAGAAATACTCCGATGCGTGTACATCTGTATATTTTTTTATTTTAGACCTGGAACGTTCCCCCTGCCTCGCTGTTCTGGTGGTCTGTCGTCCTGTATCTGAGGGATCGCGGGGTTAAAAATTAAACGTTCATCTGTGCCGTTTGCATACATCTCCCATGACAATGACCACACACATATCATCCCGAGTGGTTCCGTGTGGCATTGACGTGACCCATGACCTCAACACCGCTCTCCAATAAATCCCAAACGGCGGATGTCACTCCCAAATCGCACCGTCATTGATGTCATTGTTTTGTGGCGCAATTATCCTCGAAACGTGAATGTGTGCTACTTCCGTCTCGCGTTGGTTCTCGCTGGGACTATGGCTGATTAGTTTTGTTTATTTATTGGCAGGCGACAAACATCTATTGGAGCTTGTCACGTTGAACCATTTCTCTGAGGTCAGCAGGGCAGCTTGCATCGCTGTAAATATAAACGGTCATGCATCCAATACCACAGCCGATAGCACTCCTACTCGTATTGCGCACGTCTATGGCAGCTTCTCCGTTCTATTCTGTTCGTGCTGCACTGAAAACAATTTAACCCAAGGCCCGCGAGTAAACCGGTGTTTTGCGGGTACCCCTATCCGCAACCATTTTTAACCACCCTCCCAGGAGTACAGTAAGGTCCCATTGCAGTGTAGTCGTCCCTGCTCTCAGCGGACTTGTTCGCTGACAGCGGTTATATCCGCTCAGAGCAAGTACGACTACACCGCAATGGGACCTAGCAGTACTCCTGGGAGGGTGGTTAAAAATGGTTGCGGATAGGGGTACCCGTAAAACACCGGTTTACTCGCCAGCCTTGGGTTAAATTGTTTTCAGTGTGTGCTCTCCCAAATGTAAACGGGTGGCAGATAAAGTGAAGGCATGAATGTCGTAGGGTAAAGGGGGATACATGCATCCATTGCGCAATATACGACCGATGACGTCATGGCATTCTCGGCCCCAAGGTCCGCATCATTATAGGTACTGCGCAGTCCCGCGATCCGCCCCCGGGGTCTGCAACATACAACACACGGCTAACCGCGTGCCTCCGCGGCGCCGCTTGGGGTAGCTCAGGGACGGGGAATTCCAGACTGGGACGGGAGGTACTGCAACAGCCACTGGGGACCCGGCACGGCAGCTGGACATGCCGCTAATGTTTATTCGGGCCATCAGTTGCAATATGCAACAGGCTTGTTTTGTTGAACAGCATTCATGTATGCAGAGGCACTCGCAGTGCTTTAGCCCATGAGGAAAGTCCTCACCTATTAGTGCGCTCATACTTATTTTACTATTTATCATTTCTTTGAAATTACACGGTCGTTTTTGGCTTGGTCGATTACAGACTCTTGCTTAGCGCACTCTTGCTCACAGTCGCATATGGATATCTGCGCAGTTTTTCGGTAGCGTATCTAGCCAACTAGGAAATCAAGTGTCAAAATGCATCGATAAAAAGACCGTCCTAGCGCTCTATACTTCCTTATTGTTAGCTTTATCGGCCAGTAATGTGTGACTTGATGGACACTTTCGCCTCAATCGGTCACGCGTGCATTCACTATGATACTATCACACCTACTTAGGTTTTCACGCCACGGTATACGGTATATGGATAAACCACTTATGTTCGCCACCTACTGGCGTTTCTAACGGGCACGGCTTACAGCGTTTTTACCATAGTGGCGCGGCTTATTCAGAGCGTTTCTCCCATGTTTTCTGTATCGAACAGATCGCTGACGCCCTATTGACGAGTGCAGGTGCCGTGTTCAAACAAAACGTTACAAACCGGCCCGCCCACAGCCGAGGCTATCTGACCGCGACACTGGACGAGCTGACCAAAACGGGAGCAGGCAGCAGCGCAGTCAATCGGAGCAGCGAGGAGTTAACGAGCTCGGGGCCATGACGCTTTGCTGTAGGAGGGTATAAGAGGGCCCAGTGCAAGCGATAAACGGGAAACGACAGCCGGCAGATGACTTTATCTCCGTACTTAATAGTAGCGATACGATGTTAATTAATAAACAGCTCCGCGTTCATGTGCTGTTTAGTGTGCACTTATGCTTAGTCCATCACGTGTATGAATATGAAATGGCTCGAGATAACCTCAGGTCCTCCACAAACACCAACAGGCTACACAAATAGCACGTCTCGTCTCAAGCTATCGAGCCAGAAACACGTCTCGAGACGGCTTCATTCGAGCCATGGTCGCTGGCATCCCCTGAGACCGTTCCGTGACGACCCTCTAACCAAAGAGTCACGAGGCACGGGACGGGGTAACCTCTGTGACCTTGCTCTGCAGAAGCGATACCCTGGGGACCCCGGGAGGCGGCGTGGGCGTCTCACCGTGACCTCCAACCGACTCACAGAGACTGAGTGCATGTCATCATTACACGCCACAATTGATACCAGCGCACCCCATGACCCCTTTCTACCCCGAGCTGTGACGCCACTAAACCCGGGCCGCTCCTACCTTGGACATCTTTCCGCAGGGGCGGGTGCGGCGCCGACCCTGTTTATTTACCGACTGGCCCCAGCGCCAACCCAAACGCACCACCGCCGCCACTGCGGCCTCCCGCAGAACGCGTGACGGCAGACCGAGAGCAGGAATCGGCCGAGATGGGCGACTGATTTATGCACGTGATTCAGGGATAGTGACAGGCTCCAGGAACTGACTGAATTCGAGGCGGGGAAAGGTGACAAGTGTTTGTGGAATTGGGGAACGAGGGGCGAATTTAGTGCGTGCGGGCTGGTCCAGGAATGGCGGAGAGTTATGAGAAGTGCCCGGTGAATTCTCTGTAACAGCGTGTCAGGAGGCAGTTATGGAGAGCGGTGAGGTGACTCACCACATCGTGACGATGACCGGTGGATTTCTCGGAACCAGGCATCTGCAGCCATCACGGGAGTCTCCAATGCCAGATGCCGCAGTGCAACGTATACTGAGACTGAAATGCATCTGTCATGTGCGGGAGATGCGAGGCATTTTCTAGGCATCACCGGATCAGATTATTCAAACGAACTCGACACATTTCACTACGGTCATAGGGGCACTATACGTACAGGCATGCACGACAGAAATTTGCATACACGACATCAATACCGATAAGGGAAACGGGTTATGTGGACGTTTGCTGCACACTGCTGAGTACACAATGACCCACTAACTTGCAAACGTAGCACAGATAACAATGAGCCACGAAGGTTTCAGCGTTTCGTTGAATTTCCCACGTCCCAGTCAAACTCTGCAATGTGATTGCATAATTTTATTCATCCACACTCAAATGTGTAAGCATAACTAAGGCTCATCATTGGTTTCACAGTTCACACTGCACTATTCACACTATATATAGCGGGAGAGGAATGTATCTGGAGCGTTCAGCCCGGCGACTGCCACCACCCAGCGGTCTGGAGGCGCGTGCTCCGCCCCTCAGTAGCTCCCTCTGTACAGGTGGCGCTCCACGGCTCGACGGGACCGGCCACTACACACAGGACGGATGGGAGTTGTCGTACGGCGCCGGGCGGGCCGTGACCTGACCTGGGTGGACCCGCAGCGCACCTTCAGAGACAGGAGAGCCGGCGCCATGGGGTCATGAAGTAAGAAAGCACCGGCCGCCGAAACCATACGCCGAGCGAGCACAATAATCTACAGAAGATAATTCGGCAATTTCTGGGGTGTGCTTAGCGCAACAAATATGACACACGACTATATAAATTCACGAGCAACTGATTAAAACAACAGGAGAAACAAACACCCGCGATTATAAGTAATTGCTCGAATAGAAGATCAGAGGCCAGTTTTACCAACAGAAAAATAGCCGCCTGCCGATTTTTTTGCCTAAAGACCGCTTCACACTCAAAGCGTAAACGCGATGGGCACGTAAGAGGATAGGGCTTTACCATTTACGCTCCGTATGTGAAGCGGTCTTTAGGCAAACAATTTCGGCAGGCGACTATTTTCCTGTTGGTAAAACTGACCTCAGCTCATCGTTGAATTACCAGCCACGTCATACCACGTCTATTCCAGCGACCCACGGGGCGTCGAAACCGCACACATTTCAGCAGCCCGTAGTCTATTGGGGCCCGATCACACGGACACTACGAACAGTGCTACACGCGTGTATACTTCCCTCTCACACGAGCAACACAGTCCTGTACGGGGATGGCATTGCACGAAATCCTGGACGATACACGGTACCCCGCCTGAGGAGGGTGCCCGGCCGGCCGCTCCGTCCGGCGGGGGGTAACCGGGGCGGCCACCGGCACAGGATACTCTATAGGACCTCAGCCGGCCGTCCTACGCTACGTACTCCAATAAATACGTCCCGGGCTGCCTATGGATGGCGGATGATCACCAGTCTGACGTTCCCGTCAGAATAATCACCTATATAATCAACATAAATAACGGAATACTCGCCCGCGGACGCCCGAGCTGTGTTTACAGCAGGCACTATTGGGGAATAATAATGATAATAAGTATATATACATTATACACGATCACAGGCGCAGTGATTTTTTTTCACCCGCCGCCCGACAGCGCACTTGGGCGAGTCGGACGGGCACCGCCGGCCTGACGAACGGCATCTCTCTGTACTCACACTCTCCTCTTCATTTGTTCAGCTAGCAGCCAATCATCGGCTCTTGCAGCTCTGTCGGTTGCCCGTTAGCCAATCACAGACGGCTTAAGTCGTCCGTTTGCCAATCACAGACGGCGTCCATCGACAATTAGCCAATCACAGACGGCTTCAGTCGTCCGTTAGCCAATGGCAGCGGCTCATGGCCATGCGACGAGCACACGCCTGTCTGTAATCAGCCGACGTAGCTCCATTCGATCAGAAAACTAACAAAGGACCTCGGCTGACCGGGTACCGATCACGTGACCGGCCGACGCACCAATCGCGAGCCTCCACAACCGGACACACAACGGTGATTGGTTGACTCCAGTCATATTATGACCACTCACCCACTCACACTGCCGTCCCGTCCACCAATCACAGGCCTCTTCTGTCGGTCGGCGAGCGCTGATTGGTCGCCGGCGGTCACGTGGTCGCTGCCGGCGGTGTGATGTTGAACACGGGGCCGATGCGCAGGAAGAATTTCCGCAGCACGGCGCGCAGCTCGGGCTTCAGGTCGAAGCACATGACCTCACAGAGTAGCGGGTAATAGTTGGAGGCGTGCGCCCGGAACTGGGGACGGAGGGGAGCCGGGGTCAGTGTCGGGGTCATGACGCGAGTGGGTGTGGGGGCAAGCAGGGCAGAGAAGGATGCAATTCAGAGAAAGTACCTACAGCAACAAAGCTGCAGCTTATCACCTCCATGGATTACCAATTACTTCGTCAAGCACAGAAAAAAAAATCCACTGTGACTTCGCAGCAGCGGTTCTATGGCAGCGGTAGCTTCTCAAGCGAGACATTCACAAACACTCGCTGCTGTCGCGACTGGTCCCACAATATAAATAAGCACAGCGCACAGACATTCACTGTTAAAGACCAGATGTGCTGGCTGAAAGGTATGTCACACCGTTAAACACCGCTCGACACAGAGCCAGTACTCAACGACCCGTGAGAATACGCCCGGTGTTTTGGGTTTCTGAGAGAGATAACTCGAGTAAACAGAACATGACTGTGTTCAAAAAGCGCTCTCGTCTGGTATTTGTGAGATATCACCCGGCCGACGGGCCTATCGCACAGGTGGCCCCTGTACTCCAATAGCGTGAAGTGGCTGCTTGATAAAGACACGCCGACAAGTGCCGTGGGTCACAACGCAAATACTAAGATAAGGCTCGTACTCCTGCATACCTTAGCGTCCACCGGTTGGCATAACAATGATTGTAACGGAACGACTCACGATATTTCAGTCGACATGCTAACCCTCTCATATTCACCTTCAACTATCCCTACATTCCTTTACTATCAGTACCGTTTGATAACAACTGCAATGTTTACTAACTGGTGTTTTAAGTAAGCCGAATTCGTCGCCATTTCGCTCCAACACACCTTACCAACCAATAATATCCAAACGCCGAACCTCCGGCCTCCAGCTTACGCCGACCTCCCGGCTTCCCACCCTCCGTCCTCCCCTCCCCTCTCCCTCCGCCCGCGGAACTCACCCTCTCATCATCCATCTTCTGCACGCGGGTGAGGAAGAGCAGCAGCAGCGCCACCCAGGCGTCCCGGTGCGCCTCCGACTGCAGGCTCAGGTAGTACTCGAGCGCCTCGCGGCAGGTGGCGATCAGCCGCTGCTGCACCTGAGGCCACTCGGCGCGCCGGGCCTCGTCCGTATACAGCCGGAACAGGATGCGCAGCGCGCACGCCAGGCTCTGCGTCTCCTGCTTCAGCAGGTTCGGCTTGGCGTTACCCTTGAAACCTGCGGAGAGTGGGGAAGGGGCGTTGGTTGAAATGTCAGACAGTTTCATGGAGAAAGAAGGAGCTCAAGACCAAGAGCTTGGTAAAAAAACATTCAGATTTATTGCTTTGAAAGAGTTATAAATGGTTTTCATTATCTAAATTAATGTGAGCAAGAAAATAAAGACAAAATAGAGGGTAGAGAAAATACATTACAGAAAAGAGAAAAATAAATATTATAGGAGAGGGACCTAGCTAAACCCAATCCTCAACCGACTTCCCAACACCGCTCACACCCATTTACCCTCCCTCCGTCTCCTCACCGGCCCTCCAGAGCAGATTCCGCTGGTCGTGGTCGGCGTTGAACCGCTTGGCGAACCGGTGGCTCTGCATGAGGCAGTCGATCAGCTGGAAGAGCTGCGGCGCGCTCAGGTACGGGTACATGCCCTGGTCCTCGCGCTGCTGGGCGTCGTCCGAGAGCCGCTGGCGCAGCGCCTCGGCCTGGGCCTGCGCCAGGTTTTCGGCGTCCTCCTTGCGTGAGGTGGTGGGGAAGAAGACGATGTTGTCGATGGTCTGGATGAGCTCCAGCTGGACCACGCAGCGGATCAGCAGGCCGGCAAATAGCTGGTGGTCCTGGTGTACCTGACGGGAGGAGAGCGGAGGCGTTACAGAGTGGTTGGTGAGACGGCTGACAGGTTGGGCGGGAAAGGTTGTCATAACAATGGTAATAAAGCTACAACTTTCAGTTCACTTTCGTTTCCTCAACTAACATAAAATGGCAAAAAAGCCTCGAACTTATACGAAAACATTGACTGTAGCATGAGCTTCAGTTGGAAATTAAAACACAGTGGCAAGCAAATTGGCAGTTTGACCGCAGATTGTAAAACTGCTTTAAGTAATCAAGTCCCATTGTCGTGCGCTATTTTTTTCAATCGTGAACCTACACAGTACACACGAAACGCCACGGTCGTTTCCTCTCACCTTCATTTTCATTATTTTTCTGTTTTTGTCGTCGTTGGTCTGCGATCCGATGCTGTTGATGCTGTGCATGCTGTCTGCCCGGCCCATAATCTCGGACGGCGAGTCGGTCGGACTGTGCGGGGACTGGGGGAGCGCGCACAAATTCGAGGTAAAGGACTCAAACCAAAAAAGAGCAGTAAACCTCTCACAGGACTACAATCCAGACCCAACGAAGGCTCAGAACATCCGGCTGAGTCTGAACCCTTACCCCTGACCTGAGCCTCCACTAACCCTCCCACATTAATCCCCGGTATCCTCTGTCCCCGATAACGTACCTTTGGATCGGTGAGCGGCTCTCCTGCCTCGCCCGGTCTCCACGTGAGCAGCTGGTGCGGGATCGTCGAGTTGAAGATGTCCAGCATGCAGCGGCACGTCTGGTCCCACGTCTCCGGCCGAAACTTGACGCCGTTAGAGATGACCAGGTTCTCCAGACAGTTGGTACCCGACCGAGCCAGCTGCTCGTTATCTGAGGGAGGGAGAGCGGGGTCAGTGAGGGTACAGATGGGACAGCTGATTGGGCAGGTCACACATGGTCAAGTCGTCTACGGGATGAAGAGAGTTGAGAGGTTGATTAGGAAATGAGGGATTAACATCGGAATGGGATACCAACTTCAAAATTAAAATATGCGGGACCGAAGCTGATTGTTGGGACTTCTTAGAGTGGAGGGTGATAGCAGATGGTCGGATTTTGATTACCAGCCACCACAGGCTGACTATCTTTGCTTGCTGAGTGCTACACATCCTGTCTGACACACCAGTGCAGCTGGCTGTACAGCGGCTCCAGCTGTTTGTTACGTACCCTGTCTGCCAGTGTCTGTTTGTTACATACCCTGTCTGCCAGTGTCTGTTTGTTACGTACCCTGTCTGACACACCAGTGCAGTAGATACCCTGTCTGACAGTGTCTGTTTGTTACGTACCCTGTCTGCCAGTGTCTGTTTGTTACGTACCCTGACTGACAGTGTCTGTTTGTTACGTACCCTGTCTGACAGTTTCTGTTTGTTACGTATCCTGTCTGACACACCAGTGCAGCTGGCTGTAGAGCGGCTCCAGTTGTTTGTTACGTACCCTGCTGAGACTGTCTGTTACGTACCCTGTCTGCCAGTGTCCGTCTGTTACGTACCTTGTCTGCCAGTGTCTGTTTGTTACGTACCCTGTCTGACAGTGTCTGTTTGTTACGTACCCTGTCTGCCAGTGTCTGTTTGCTACGTACCCTGTCTGACACACCAGTGCAGTAGATACCCTGTCTGACAGTGTCTGTTTGTTACGTACCCTGTCTGACAGTGTCTGTTTGTTACGTACCCTGTCTGACAGTGTCTGTTACGTACCCTGTCTGTTACGTCCCCTGTCTGCCAGTGTCTGTTTGTTACGTAGGTACCCTGTCTGCCAGTGTCTGTTTGTTACGTACCCTGTCTGACAGTGTCTGTTTGTTACGTACCCTGTCTGCCAGTGTCTGTTACGTACCCTGTCTGCCAGTGTCTGTTTGTTACGTACCCTGTCTGACACACCAGTGCAGCTGGCTGTAGAGCGGCTCCAGCAGTATCGGCTGCAGCGTGTCGTGGTACTGCGTAAACACGTCGATAATAGCGTACAGCGCATGGTTGCACGTCGTCGTCATCCATTCGGCCTTCTGCTCCAAATGAAACCAGAACATTGGGTCAGCGGCTAGTAGCAAACGACCAACTCAAAGTTGGCAGTTTATGACTGGGTAAATGGATCTAACATGGTGTCTACGGCTGGCAAGCAAACCGTAACAATAGGTGCGTTTGATCAAATACGGAATCGATTAATAATTATGCCGTGCGATGAGTAATTGTTGATTAAAATGCATATAAAACAGCACAGCAGGCATAACTATCGGTACAATGTGTTAGCGTTACTTGAAACTCAGCAACCACTCCGCAAAATGTTATTAATTCACTCTGTAAATCAAACAGTCATCGGCAAACAACGATACATGGTATCAGCTGCAATCGGTTCGCAGTTTGGTGTTAGTAGCGGAGTTTGGGTTAGGCGATGCCGAAATATCGGTATGATTGTTAGTGAAAACTAACCAGATGACAAAATGCAATGACGGCGAAAACAGTCCTGGAAAAGGAACATTTCATATTAGGGACATGAAATAAGGACTCGAGTGATAAATAACCGATCAGGCAAGTGCAGGCATCCAAAACCACTCCCATGGGCTCGGATTATGGTGCAGTTGGCACCCGCCCGGGTAATGGATCGTCCCGAGGATCCTCCCCACCGCCCACAGCATGCAGTTGGGACAGGGGCGACATGCAGGGACGGCACGGCTGCCCGCCGCGCCCGGCGGCTGCCCGCCCCCAGTACTAACATCCAGCTGGTTGTCGGGGTGCACGAAAATCTGTTAAAGAAGAGAGCCGAATCAGACAGGGTGCGACTGGCGCGGCACACGACGGCCCCCTGTCCCGGGCGGCCCGCGCATCGACCGCAGCCTGCTACCGGGGGACAGACGCCTGTGGCAGCCGTGGACGTGTCAACCGGGAAATTTAGACTTAACCCTGCATAGGCCGGATATATTTGCTTTGAAGCCAGTCTTCCCAAAAGAAAAATAAAAGAACCCGGACTGGTGTGTGACGCGATTGTTCCAAGCAACAAAATACATGCGAGCCAACCATTTCTCCAGCCCAGAACCAGTAAAACCCGTTAGAAATTCCCTGAAAGCCTTCCATTCTAATATTGTGCAAATGTCTCTAGCATTATAAAACACTGGGCTTCAACTGATTAAGAAACCTCAAAAGCTGCCTCTGCGGTACATTATAGGACTGAGGCCCGATACTCGAACAACTAAATTCCTCTCCCGTGGGTAAGTTTAAGCTGGTTGAGCTTCAAGAACGCCCATACAAACTTACAAAGACGAAACGGTTAAGCCAGCACCAGTTGAAAATTAGTGGTGAGTGTGTCAGTGTAGCAGTAATTTGTTCATATACAAGTATTTTTGACGGTCGGTATTTGTTTTTGCTGAAGATGGGAGCAGATAAAGTTACGAAGTCAGTCCCTCTGTGACCGATATACCCTGCCTCACTCAGAGTTACGCCCAGAGAAAGACGGGCCGCCCGGGACAGAGGCAAAGAGCAAGGAGAGAGTGACAGTCGCAAACAATACCAAAACGTAACGCTCTCCCAACAAAACAAACTCAGATCAAGCGAGAGCGCCCGGATGGACGGGCGCTCAGACTACATAATTAACAGAACGAACAAAAATACTACGTCAAGGAGCCGCACCAATACAATGCGCTCAACTCCTGTCTCTTTTAAAGTAAACCATCTAAGGCAGGACGACAAAGACAAACATAAGACGCGTGAAAGCAGCAAAGGCAGTGAGAACAGACTGATAGACTGAGTCGCCGACAAACAGCACCTTCTGCCGCGTACCTCCGGGGCCGGCAGCCGCTTCCCACTCACCTCCAGCTGCTGTTCCGGCAGCTTCATGTTGTCAAAGATGCGGAACAGGATCTGGAACAGGTCCTTCCACCAGTGCTGCCGGTACGTCATGCCGTACGTCTTGATGATCTCGAACATGACGGTCAGTGCGCGCGTCCGAACGTCCAGCTTACACCTGAGGAGGGGCAGAGACGGGCGAGGTGACGGGGCGCAGTCCAAGACGATACACGAGCCTACCTCGGTGAACCAGGCTGATTACGATGACAGTGCTTATTGAACCGAATGCATATTTCAATTCGGCCCACATGTGTACTGGCAAGGTATACGAGTCAATACATAATATGCATATTACAGTTTACACAGCACTTTATTTTAGCGGACGCATATCAGGGACGCATATTTCAATAGGTATTAGGTACGTTAAAGGCTAGCGGTATGTAGTAATGCAACGTAAGTATAAAAACAGCCTCGTAACAATGTTTCATTCCAAGTATGATGAACTTTTTTTGCAAAACAAGCCCCAACGCCGCCCCTAAACGCCGAACACACACAATCCATCCACCCTCTCCGCCGCCGTACCTGTTGACGATACAGGAGAGCTCGAACATGATGGGGAACCAGGCGCGCACCCAGACCCGGTCTTCCTCCGGGATCGTCTTGTCCTCGATGTTATGGTCCCGGAACAGGTGCGGCGAGTCGGCCACGTAGCGCGCGCAGCTGCGGATCAGTCGGATCGCCTCCATGCTCGTGTCGGGAAACTGGGCGTTACACGCGAACTCGGACAGACACTTGATCGAGTCCTGGAAACTGTCGATCACGATAGCCAGGTGGTTCTCGAACACCGTCGCTGTGGAGAAAACGGAGATATAGTGTTAGAGTAGGCAGCTCGGGATCAGAATGAAGAATCAATGAAAAGGATTGGACTATAAAGTAGCAAAAACTTAAAATTCGTACGGTCATCATTATAGGGCTGCGATGAGAAAAAATCACCATCGAGTCCATCGACATTTTCTGATCAGACATTGGGATAATAATTCTAGAAATAACTAAGCGATACACAAACATACAATTACTTCATTCTAGCGAAACGTATGCCTAATGCCCATACGACCCTCCCATTTCCCGAAGTAAGCCGCGTTGTGTGTAGTGTTCAAATTGCCCTGCTGATGAACTGTAAGGAACTTATCACTTACAGATGATGGAGCCGGTGGTCTGGAAGGAGAGCTCGACCACACTCTCGTCCATGCCCGAGGCGGCCAGGTGGAACACGCTGAAGATGTTGTTCCAGCCGGAGCGGATGTTACGCGCCTGGGAGTTGACCATCTGCGCCACGCAGCGCACCACCATGTCCTGGATGGTCGGAGACCTGACAGAAGGGGGGGGGGGGCGGTCATCCAGCGGGACATGGTGAGCACTGAGCAGCAAACCACGTCATGTCCTGGACTGTGGGGGAGTCCTGAAAGAAAGTCAGACGGGAGGGAGGACACACACCTCTGGGGGAACAGGGCGAGCTTAGTTGATGGGTGTACAGGGACCGAAACTACTGAGGTAATTTGCTCAGTTAGGTAAGATAGCGCGCAAGGAGATGAGAACCTGGTGATCATTGACTTGTGTTACTTTGCGACACAAACGTATGGGGAGCAATCATTATGGAAATCATAATTAATCGTGCGGTCATGCAGTTACAAAATGTCTGAACTGAAACGTTTTCTATTACTTTGGGTATTTGTAGTAATTCTTCTTTTTTTGTGGCCGCGTTCCCTCGTATTAGATAGCCAAAGACACGGTGTTCATAATGCGCAATGACTCCAGGAATCAGTCAGCAATTTAGGAGCGAAGATCACTAAGCTGGAACCGACCTGTTGGACTTCATGATGTACTCGAATGGCCGCAGGAAGTCCTTCTGGAAGCGGAAGTTGGCCAGCTCTCCCTTCTCGATGAACTTCATCGACAGCTGGCGGAGCGAGTCGACGGCGAAGAACGATATCTCCTCCACCGGGTTACAGCCCACCTACAACACACACAGGTAGGGTGTGTGAAACGATAGCGCAATTAGCGGCAGCGACAGGCGCCGTGATACGTGAATCACGGTCTTCAATAAAATACCATCATTTTCGTTGTCATTTCCAATCATAACTAAAGAAAGGCAAATAAGCAAGAAGTGCTGAACGGAGAAGTCAAAGTGATGAGCTACGAGCATGAAAAGACGTGAGAACGCGACAAGTAAGTCCAAACTCAAACTCAATCCAACTTCCAGCACAATGCTAAGCAGCCTCACTATTCCGCTCCTCCTCACACCGTTTCACTCACCCTGTTGAAGTGTTCTCCGAGTATTTTCCAGATGCGGGACCACTGCAGCCGGATGCGGCCCATGTTGTAGTAGGAGATCTCCACCAGTTTGGTCAGCGAGAACATCCGCGGCTGCGGCTGGGCCAGCTCGTCTCGGGACACCTGGGCAGAGGCGGAGAGGCTGTCAGAGCGATAGTGGGGTGAGGTAGGGGTTAACCCTCGCCGGACCTATTGGTTTTCTACATACGCGCCGGCCGAGGGGGGGGGGGCGGGTACGACCCCCCCCTCGCCGTTTCGCCCCTGGTGGAGCTAGCGCGTCGCGGAAAAAACGAGCGTGTGCGCCGTTACGAGACGCAGAGATTGGTACCCGATTTTAAGGTCCTAGGTCAACCGGTGACCTCTGAGGTCAGGTCAAGTGCCCCAGGGTACGGTTCAGTTTTTGGTGAATAACTTCGCAAAAAACGGCCGCAGAGCCGCGATTTTGGCAGCATCGTGTTCGCCTCGCTCAGGCGCGTCGAATGATATACTTTTTGTTCGGGTCAGGTCAACTTGGGGTGTTGACCTCAGGTCAAGGTCAGGTCAGCACCCCCAGGTCACGAAGTTGGTCGAAAGAGGTCATGTCGCATATCATTCGATTCGGCAGGTCTTCCTGAGTCCATTGGTGGCTTTCTCGACTCGCTAGCTCAATTTGATCGGGAATTATTGACGAAAAACTAATATGACCTTGATGACGTCATAAATGACGTCACGGAAGGTCAACATTGCAAAAGTGACGCATCTAACCTTGCAAGGAGTGCATCAAATCACGATTCTGTGTGCTTGAGATAGTTGGAGATCGTTCCCGGCGCCAGAATAGCAGTTTGAATTTTTCCCCATTGACTTATAATGGTGAGGTCACGAAAATGACCTGACCTCATATGACCTTTAGGAAAAATCCGAGATATGCAAGTTGTGAGACTCATAATGGATACTAGATCCTGCAAGTTTCATTTCCGTGTGACATCTCCTCTGGCAGTGAGGGCGTTGCGAAGTTGCGACATCTGAAGACCGTGCAGAGGTTCACTTATGACGTCATAGGTCAGTGACCTGACCTGACCCAAAAATGCGGTTGGTGTTAAAAGATGCGGCTTGGATGAAAGGTCAGGTATGCCAAGTTTCAGCTATCTATCGCCAGCGTGTTCGGAGCTATCGCGAAAAAACCCTATGGGGGGGGGGGGGCGGCACCCGCCCCCCCCTCGGCCGGCGAGGGTTAACCCGCGCGGGGCTGGGGTCTCCAGCCGAACGCGCGGGGCTGGGGGGGGTAAATTTTACCCCCCTGTTATCTCCCGAACTAACGGTCCGATTTGGAAAATTCAAACGCCAATCAAAAGCTCTCATCACGAACTACTAAAAACATGTACTTAATTTAAGGTTTGAGGTCAAGGTCAAGGTCAGGTCAAGGGTACAAATTGCAAGTTTCTACAGTATCGGCCTTGCACCGTAGTTGCCGAAGAATGGAGTCATGGACTGAGACTGATCGCCCAAAACGTGTTCTTAGGCTACCAAGACAATATTCGTTGCATACAATATCATTCAGAGGTCAAGGTCAAGGTCAGGTCAGGTCAGGTCAGGTCACCAAAAAACAAAATATAGAAAAGGGCATGTGCGACACATGTTTTATGGGTCATTTTACTCATAGAATTCAATAGGCACACTCAATAAGTGATATGGACCACCTCTGGATGAATTTCAGGTCGAGGTCAGGTCAAGGTCAGGTCAAGTGAGGTCAAATTTTGAAGTTGGTTGTTAAGGCCTAAAAAGGTGTCTATCTGATGCAGTTTTTCACGGCGAATCGAATGGTGCTATTTTTGTTTCCGTACGAGGTCTAGAACTTCCAAAAAAGTCATTTTTCAAAAAAAATTGTGTGTCGTGACGTCATAAAATTTTTGAATAACTCCCACATTTTTGAACCGATTCTTCTAAAATTTGGTATGTAGGTGCACATAGACCACTTCTCTGACATATATTCCGGTTTTTTCGATAGACTCAAAATTTTGGATTTTATAATGATTTTCCCAAAAAAGTCAGTTTTTTGAAAAAAATTTAGGCCAAAATCCAAAATTTTCAAAAAACCGAGATAGCCATTTGATAGACAAAGTAAAATTACGTATAACCTTTTTTGTTACGTCTTGATTCCTTTAAAAATGAAGATGTTAGCGGCGTTTGAACTTTCGCCGTTTTTGAGGCGAAAATGACGAACATGACGTCACTAAAACGTCAATTTCTCAAAAATTTTCCGACGGATTTCGCTCAAATTTTCAGGGAACGTGTCAAATTGATGTAAGAAAAGGTACTGAAAGTTTGGCGGCGCTGCGCGCCGCCGTTTTTGAGATATCGCAAAAATTCGCGAGGGGGGGTAAAATTTACCCCCCCCCCGCCCCGCGCGGGTTAAACAGCTACAATACTGCTATCAAATCCTTTCTAGTAACCCGAGCAGTATCTGAAATATTGACGACATATCGAACTAATGACTAGGCTTAGCTAGTATTACAGCTCTAACGGGAAGACTGATCATCTACCATGGCTCGCTCACTCCCCAACATTCTCTCCACACAGTTACACCTGGGTCATCAGTTTTATCACCCCGTCCGCAACTCACGTGACAGAGTGCGTCCACGAAGTCGACCACAGCGTCTCCGTCCAGTCGAATGGAGCCGGTAAAGATCCGGTCCACGGCCACTACCACGCTCTGGGAGTTGGTCTCACCCATCGACTCGACCACGCTCGCCAGACGGCGCTCCGCGTTGCCGGTGACTGACGGTGAGGGGAGGGTGGTTAGGCAGGCAGGGAATGGCGACAATGCAGCATGAGGTCGGCGGGTGAGCAGTAAGGCAGAGATATTAACATAAAACACATATGAGAAAAGTGCGGCATACGCGCCAAGTCAGCATGAAAAGTTAACTCTTCAGTCTTTACACCATCGCCAACTCTCGTAATTGCGATGAATCCAAAAACAGCACTCATCACCAAACCAAATCAAAGTGTAAATCGTTACTATTAAAGGCCAGCGCCCATCTCTCACTCCTATCTCCCTCAGGTACTCCCCCATCAGTCACTCACAGTCGATATTCTCCAGGAAGTGGAAGCCGTGCCCCCCGTCGGCCGTCTTCCCCTTGGCCGGGTGCGCCAGCCGGCCGGGCCGCACGCCCGTGCCGATCAGCTGCGCCAGCTCCAGCTGCGAGATGCAGCGCAGAATGTCCAGCCACGAGTGGCCCAGGTAGTTGCCGTCCGTCTGCGCCACTGAGATCAGCGTCTTGATCGTGTCAATGTTCTTGGCCTTCATCTCGGTGATGGCCGCGTTGGCCGTGAGCAGGGTGAACCGGGCCAGAGCCTGCACGTACGCGTCACGCTCCAGCTGCCGGGCGAGGCGAGGGGGGACGTCCGGGTCAGATATAAGCTGGAGAAGGTTACAGGTGAGCACATTCTGACGGGCAAGGTTGATGGTGAAATCCTAACGTGTATTTCCGGCGTATGATAGCGCCAATGTTGCACCTACGAGAAGATCAAATGTCAAGCAACAAATAATTCATGTCATCTGCGCGTCAATACGCACCAATCCAACACAGTTCGCAATATCAAAGGAAAAGGGCACAACCTGACCCAGCCCAACCACACCCCGTCTTACCCTTCCAACTGCCTACCTTCATCTGGAAGATGCACGCGATGCGGATGGCACATCTGATCCCGTCCAGACAGAGCTCGTCCACGCGCGGATCGTCGCAGTCCTGGAGACCAGTGCTGAACGCAGCCAGGAACGGCGCCCAGGCCAGCTTGAACATGGGCCGCACGTGCTCCACGTGTGTGGCGCACGTGAACTCGGCCTGCACGTGACTGGCGGCCTCCATCAGCGACTTGGCCGCCAGCGACATCTGCTCCATCTCCAGGTTGAACAGGAGCCGGCGCTGCTTCTCGCTCTGGGCCACTGCAAGGTGGGGGAGAGGGAGTGAGCAGAAGCGGACTGAGAGCTGGGGAGAGGCTGTAAGTCGCTGGTGTGAGTGTGTCGTTGTCACAATTACTTTGCTCTGATGACTGAATATGTCTAAAATTCGTACAAATGGGTTAGTTGTATCGTGGTAACAAATGGATTGCTACATCAAGGTAGAAATGGCAATCTTAAAATAAAATAGGAACAATAAAATGAGGCCGACTATCCGCCAACCAAGTCCAGCTGCCAGTGTCACCCCACTACACCCCCGCCCGACCTCCGCCATCTACCCCTCCCTCTCCGCTCTCTATCCCACCCCTCCCCGACCCCACCGCACTGACCCTGTTTGCCGGGTTTGGCGCTGGCCGTGACCTTCATCTTGATCTCGTTGCCGGCGATCTCGTCATAGATCTGAGACAGGTAGTCCTCGGGTAGATCTTTGCTGTCGTTGATACCGCGGTTCATCTTGATGTACTGCTCCTTGGTCATTTTGTGCTGCAGGAGGATGGCAAAGAGTAAGAATGCTGAGACTCAGAACGAATGTACGATCACGGTCAGTTATAGTTAGACTGCAGCAGCTTATCAATTGTCATACATTGTCATGTCAATCATAACCATTTGTCAGCTAATTTGTCATCATTAGACTATAGTCGAGACTAAAGAAGCAGTAGTTCACATAGTCTTACCTTGACCTGAGCGCTGTGCAGGTCGGTGGTCAACATGATGATGGAATAGGCCAGTACGTACGCCGTGTCGGCACTGGCAAACAGGTTCTGACTGAAAACACACGGAATAGACGCCGTTAGCCACAGGCCAGAACAACAACAGATTCAGGCATTAAATCATCAAATGACCACCACTTTCTGTATATCAGTATACAATCCTAACACAGCCAGTATTAATCACAACACGCCAAACTACTTGAACACCAACCTCTCCCATTTCATCACCCAGTCCCTCCAGCCCTCAGCGTTTCTCACTTTGGGTTGCACTCGCAGTATCTGCTGGCGAACTTTTCCATGAGTCTGTCGATCTTCTGGGCCTCTCCTGGCAGGCGGAAGCCGTCCAGAAAGAGCCGCAGCGCCGCCACAAAGTCACGGTCGTTGAAATCCAGACGGTCCACGTAGGCGTACATCACCTGAGTAGAGGGAACCGACGGACGGGTCAGAACGACAGTCGGATGCTCATGGCAGGCTGCATGATGAGGGCGATGCCGCCTTTGAACAGGTTCCTTATTTGAGTGTGACACGAGAGTGCGGATCATTAATAAGGTTTACTCTTCGACATTAGCACCAAAATCTATACCAGCAATGTCTTCGCCTAATTGAAGCTCAACCAATTTCATGTGAAAACCTTGTTCATCAAGCTTCTCCCCTCCCCTTTCTTCCACTCTTTACTTCTCCTCTGTTTATCTCCTCTCCTCTCTGCATCTTATCACGCACCTCTGTTGTGCTGGTCCGGATCCCCCAGATAATCCCCCAGCACGGCACAGCCCACCCTCCCTCTATCACGTGTGTACCTCTCTGTTGTGCTGGTCCGGGTCGCCGAGGTAGTCCCCCAGCACGGCACAGCCCACCCTCCCTCTATCACGTGTGTACCTCTCTGTTGTGCTGGTCCGGGTCGCCGAGGTAGTCCCCCAGCACGGCCCGGTCCAGCCGGTGGTCGTCGTGGAAAAAGGCGGCGATGGAGTCGGGCGTGGCCTCCAGGAGGCCCTGCTCCTGCAGAAACGCCAGGCCGCGCTTCGGCTTACGGTTGAACCTGGGAGGGAGAGAGCGGGAAGGTGTCAAAGGGCAGCCTGATGGGGCTTTGGGTGAGCCGAATCTTTAAGTGGGGTTGTTTAGGTGAGCGTGGAAACTTATGGCTTAATTACAGCGTAGAGGACACTCGACAATGAAAAAAAAAACAACCTCAATAAGTCTGACGAGCACATGGAGAACATTAGGACCAATCGTTCTTTTGCCGTGAAAGCATTCGGACCTTTGAAACTGCAAGCTCACAGCTTAGGCCGGAGCCATTTATCAGTCATCCTACACATAGAATCTTATATCCTACATCTCACTCATACGTTCAGACGTTCAGTCCACCGCGCACCACCGACCACCTCTGCCCGTAGTACTCACATGTCGATGCCCTGCTCCCAGATCTCCTTTTTGTGTTTGAGCGACTCGTACTGCTGCGGCGTGTTGTTGGCCAGGCTGTTCTGACTGCCGTAGGTGGCCAGGGAGGCCGGCTGGACGGGCTCGTCAGCCGTCTCTCGGTCCGTCTCTGTTGGCACACAGACATGGACTCAGACACAGAGTGGTTGACATACCATTGGGACAAGTCGGTGGAAGGTATTAAGAACAAGGCTGGTCGGCAAATGCAGTACGCACCCTCCTTGGTCATCATGGTTACGAATTGAATTGACTATGAATTCAATTCATAGTCAATTGACTATGAATTGCTTAAAAATGCACTATACACCAACGTGTTTGTCTTCAAATGACATAGCTAAATAGTAATTATGGTTTGGTTACGGAGCGAGCGAAGCGAGCGTAGTCTTTCCTTAGATTAACGGAAATTTCTGAGTATGAGCGGCCGGCCGGCCGGCCGGCCGGCCGTGCGGACGCTTTTGCGAGGCTTATATCTCAGCAACCACTTGACCGATTTACACGCGGTAATTTTTGTAGGGTAGCTTCATTCCTTCTACCGAGTATTGGACTATTCCCGATGCATGTGGGTGACCCCTTATGCACGTGCCACGTGCAAAACGAAGAGGTGTCACTTTTGTAATTGTTGCAATATCTCGGCAACTACTTGGCCGATTGCGCTGAAAGTTGGCATGTAGGTAGGCACCCACTAGGCACTGCATATCCATGTGCCAGAGTGGGGGTGCTGCTGCACGTGCGCACGTGCAGGGGTCGTTTCCAGATCTCGAGAACGGCTGGACCGATGGCGCTCAAATTTGGTACACGGTTAGGGACCAGTTAGTAGGGTGCCGTGCACAAGTCAGTTGGGACCCATTTTGCACGTGCGCACGTGCAGGGTGCCGCTTCCAGATCTCGAGAACGGCTGGGCCAATTGTGCTCAAATTTGGCACATCGCCAGAGACCGGTTAGTAGGGTGCCGTGCACAAGTCAGTTGGAGGTACCCCCTCGAAATTTCGCACGTGCAAGACTCACCCCCTCGCTCGCTCCGTTAGTCGCCCCAAAAGGCGCTATACTGGTTTATTACGATTAAAATGTAAATGGTTTGCGAATGCTTTAGCTCTATATCGAGATTAGTATCGTCAGCCGTGTAATGTATAGCAGATTCTGCAAACTCTAAACAGTTTGCCATCGCGTTACGTACCGAGGTTGGTCTGCGAGTGCGGGTTGACGTAGAGCTCCCGGCTCCACTCGACCATGCATTTCAACAGTCCGACCAGACACTCGAGCGCCTTCAGTCGGATGCTGCGCTCCTGGGTGACGGTCACGCCGAGCTGCTCCGGACCCGTCTGAGGGGGGTGGGGGAGGGGAGGGTCAGGGCGACGGGAAGGACGGACAGCGGGTCAAGACTACGGGAGGGAGCCGGGCTGCAGGCGACGGATCAGTACAGCGGCACCCGTGATATTAGAGAGCTGACTCTTATGTGAAAGCTGAAGATGATTCAAGCCTCAAGGCTTTCGTCGATTCGATCACACCTTTCCACTAATAATTGTCATATCTCCAGTCAGCATTACGCTGCCTTTTTCTCATCACTATCTACCAATGCGACCACTGTCCAGGTCTTCCCTATGCCACCAGTCCTCCGTACACAAGCTCCGCACCGCACCCCATCCACTCCCTCCTCCCTCATCCCTCCCGCACCTGTCTGCCGTGCGCCATCTTGCTCAGGTCGGCCACTAGCCGCTCGAAGATGTTGGCCGCCGCGAAGTCGCAGTCGTAGTTGACGTAGATGTCCACCACGCTCTGGGCGTCGGCGCAGATACGCGTCAGCACCTGGATCACCATCCACTTGTGCTCGAACGACGAGCTCGGCGTCTCCAGCAGGTTCAGGAAGATGCCCTTGAAGAACACCTAAGACGAGGCGGTGGGCGGCGGGTTATAACGGCCGGACATTCATTATAAGAGGTACCTAATGAAAGAATGAGACGGGATACGTGGATTTGTAGTACATTACAACGATAAATAACATTAGACAACAAATTGGATACTATCGTGGTTTCAAAGAACAAGAGATTGCCCTAAAATAATACAGGCTAGACGATTTGCCAATTTAATGCTCGAACAGCACAGTATGGGCGATCAAACAGCGGTAAAAGTTACACAACTATCGGGGATTTTAAATTGGTCCACTCTTCGTAATAGCCCGCCAAAAAGTTGACCGACAGGTGACAGGTGATCATTTAACCCCGAATCTGTCACTGCAATCACCGCAATATACATCAGCGAACAGTTGCTAACTTTGCACACGGTGTGCACTGGTGGACCTTTGACCTTTGGCGCCCCTGTAGCGGCTCCAAAGGAGCACGAGTTATTTTCACGGATAGTATTCGGCGTTCGAGGCCTCGCGGTGCCGATGAAGGCACAGTCGAGCCAGGTCGATAAGATAACATTTATGGCTTATCGGCGACAAACTGCCACGGCGCGGTAGTGTGAATACACGACATGCGTCAGTTGCTACAGTGCTGTACTTACAGTACAGCTGTACTTATCATTTCACGTAGTAATTATCATGAATCAGGCATGTAGTTGTGTATCTCATCGACTCATGAGACGACGTACTATTTTCAAACAAAGCCAGCCAATCAAACCACCCACAAATCCTCCTGATCTCATATTCACCCCACCTAGCCCTTCTTCCCTCAGGTTACGCCCGTACCTCGATCTGTTTCTTGAGGTGCTGTTTGAAGTTGGCCAGCAGCGCCAGGAAGATGGCCAGGCTCAGCTGGAACACCTCGGGCACCGAGGAGGCGCCGTTCTTGGAGAGCGCCACGCACAGGTACTGCTTGATGGCCGTGATGAACATCTCGTTGGAGGTGAACACGCGTCCGGGCGACTGCAGGATGGACAGCAGCAGCTCCAGCGACAGCACCTTGGACCGCAGCTCGTGCGACCTGCCGAGAGAAACGGTAGAGTTTGTGATATTTGTATCTTCTACATAGAGGATGGGCAGGGAATCTCGTGAGACCTACGCTACACAGTAGGAGAGAAGTTGGTGACATCTGTAGACTAGGAGAACGACGGCAGACTCGACCTGCGTAAGACACGGCGGGAGCCGAAAACAAAAGCACGATCTTCGTTCCAGTTACCACCAACTGTTCTAAATTTAGTTTGATGATTGATCGGTTTCTTATGAGATAGGGGTCGAGAATTACAAGCTTAAAACCATTAATGCAATGTACAAACACGGGCTTGTTATTTAGTCTGTCCATTCATCGCACATAATCATAATTCACCAATGTCACTACAAATATCAAGGCCGCAGGTTGTAAACCTTTCACGTAGCTTGACAAGAGTTTGACAGCCGGCACGACGCCAGGTCATAGTCACACCCCCGTCCCTGCGTACTACCCGTCAAGGTCGCCCAGTTCACAGTTCCAACACTCCGGGCCGGTATCGTTTCCAGTTCGGCACTCGGCACAGCCGTATCGCTACAGCAGATCGGTCAACAGTCGCCCGCCGTGACCCAGATTATTGTGGGTGGCGGGCATCGCGTATCACAGCCATCGCGACTCGCTGTCAGTTGTAGTGGGCACGGGGAAACGATAGCGGCATTGGACTGACGTGTGATGAAAGAGCTGAATATGGAAAAATAAGCATGTGCACTGTGCAGGCTTGTTTGGGCTGTGCAAACTGCCGACAAGTCCACTGTGGAATTCATCGGCGTGGAATTTAAGGTACCACAAACTAAGACCATCGTGACCACAAACGAAAGGAATAATACGAAAAGGAATAATAAGGAATACGAACCTTCATAAGGAATAAGGGCAATTGAAATTTGATCAATACGGACTGCCGAATGAAAATGTACCACGGCTCAGAACAAGCACGATTTGCTTTCCTAGCTCGTCCCATTACCACACACAACATCCGACCGGCCTGTTAGCAGCGATTTGTCGGCAGTTTGGGCCTTTGGACTCTGTCCAGGCAGCCCGCCCGCGTTCACCGGAGTCCAAACGTGCTCTCAGTGAAGCCGACTGTTTGTTTACCGGATCAGCACATTCCTACAGACGTTCCAGTGTTAGACACGGCCGCGGCGCTAGGTGGGAGATGCCGGGCGACCTATATCGGTATGTAGACCGAGGCTGGGCAGTGATGGCAGATAATTCAGACACGTCCGGTCGAGGGTCACGACCAATATCATTCAATGTTTTTATTAACTTCAAATACCTTCTAAAGTATGTCGCAAATTACAGCCAACTTGCAAAACATTGAAATGAATCCCAAGTACAGGGTGTCCGGATAGTTCTGGCGCTTTTCAACATTTTCTAAAACAAATGCCATTGGTTCATAGATACTAATCAATGGATCAAAACAATGACCAGGGACACCAAGCCACATGCTTCCGCTACGTGCTCATTCAATGTAACCACCGTCGGCGCCGACGACGGCCTCGACGTAGGGGAGGAAGCGTCTGCGGGTTTTGACGATGCGGGGCATTTCCAGGTCCTCCCATGCTGTCATGATGCGAGTCTTCAGCGACTCCAGGTTGGGGTGAGAAATGGCCTAGATCCTGTTCTACAAAACGCGTAGCACGCCTTAGTCGAGCGGGTCAGGTTAGGAGAATAAGGCGGCCTAATCTCATTTCGCCACGGTGATCTGGCCCGGCAAGCTCCTCTGTCAGTTTAGCTTGAATGGCGGCGGCGTTGTTGGAGGGTGCTCTGTGCTGTTGAAATGCGAAGTGACCCTTAGGGCATGTCGTCTTGACCCTCGGGTTGATGTGGCTGTCCAGGAACCCCTCGTGGGCCAGCCTGTTATTCATTTATTCGACATTGACGAAGATGATGGGACATTTTTGTCCATCAGACCCCCGCACTTTCTTCGATTGCCGCGCTGAAATGCTGCTCCGTTCCCATATCGCGTTCGAAACGGTCTGAGGATATTTTTTAAGGAATTCCCGAGTCGAAATAAACCTTTACCTGCTAAACCATTCATCGAAAAACGCCGCATCGCGCTGCAACTCGCGCCTCGTTCAAGTCGCACCCGGCAGCCGCGCGCAGGCATTCAGCGACAAGGCGCATCTTCGCCCATCTACCCATCACTGAAAACGATTTCAAGGTCATATTTACACGAACCCTGGCTGAGCAATCAACGAGGGGTCATGTCTGTGATGATTGGCTGAATGTCCAATAATCACAGCGCGCGTTACACGGCGTCCAAAAGAAGCGCCAGGACTTTCCGGACACCCTGTATTCGTTCCTGAAAAACAATACTTCAAACAAACTCTTCAAACATAATTCTTCAAGCACGCAGTTTCCTCAAAACCATTGCAGTGAACCAAATCAAAGTACGTGCTAGAATAATTTCTTTGATCTCATCCCAGCCACCAAGACATGCTCCTACAAACAGACCATCTCCCGACACCAACCCTGCTCCGTCTGTCAACACTAGCTCACTTACTTGGGGTCAGGCGTTCCCTCCGGGAGCGGCTTCATCGACAGTTTACAGAGCGAGCGGAACACCAGGAAGGCGTCCTTCTGCAGGATGTGAGAGAACTTGGCCGTCATCATGTCGCTCTCGCTGGCGTCTTCGCTTCCCTGGTGACAGAGACGACGCGGAGACGGTCAGTGAGGGATAGTGTGATCTGGTGAAGTTGCGAAAGATGAGGCACAAGCATCTTGCCACCTTAAGAGAGTATACCGAGAACATGGATGAAAAACAGCCCCGTCCATGCGGGAAGAGCGATTAAAATATCGAAGAGGGCGGCGTGGATAATTATACCGAGGGTAGCACTGAGAGCTTGCGACCTCCATCAGTCTGGTTTGTACATGTTGGACATTGATCTCACCTGAGACATTCTGCGGTTCATTTTTGGCGTGTTGGGAGCACTGGAGCGCTCCGAACCGTTCTCTCGTGGCTCGCTGCTCACAGACGCTGTGGCTTCTGAAAAGAAAACAACCGCAGTCATGAGGCAATCTAGGTTCTGGAAATAGTGGACCAACGTAGCTGCACGCCATGATGGGCATGATGGCTTTAACACGACTCAGAATAGTAAAGTGTATTTCCATTTCCAGACCCATATGCTCTCTTCGTATTTTCATATGAATCCACACCACTGGTACCTGGTTCGCTAGTGAGCTCTTCGTGGAAAATACATAATCAATCCCATCCCCTCCCCGCACGTACCGGAGGGCACGGCGCTGTCGACCAGCTCCTCCACGATAGACCGGACGACCGTCTCGGCCGTGGGCTCTGCGCCGGCCGCCTGCTCGGCCGGCCCGTCGGCCGACGAGCCAGCCGAGGCCGTGTCCCCGGCGGGAGGACTGGACGGCACGCCGTTCGGAGGGCCGCCCTCCCCGGCAGCGGCGGCGGTGTCGGGGGGAGCGCCGTCCGCCGCGCCGTCCGCAGAGGAGGGGTCGTCGGGAGGGGCGCCGGGCGGCCCGCCGTCGCCGCCGGCGTCCGCGGACTCGGCCTGACCGTTGGTCTCGGATGTCTCGGCCGACTGGGCCTGTGTCTCCATACGCATAAACAGCACGTTGATGACCTGTCGGGGCGAAGGGAGGGTTGAACTACGGCTCTTCGATGGGCAATGTGTTCCAGTTCCCGCAATGAGCTTAATTTACAGCACCACAAAGTGATACACCGTTGTTAGCAAGGTGTGAATGGTACGCTCGTGTCCTACGGTAGGTAACGATAGAACCACTATATAAATCTGAAAGATGAGACCTTCAGACAGAGCCAAAATCATCTTTGCGTTACCAAGCAATAAACATCAGTGTAAACAACAATGTCGAAACAAATGGAATGCTTCACTGACAGTGGCCTATGACAAAATAGATTACACACGGCATTGTAACAATGCAAGTCTCCCATCGACATCCACGTCACCTCCACCGACCTGTGTGAGCGTGGCCTTGGCCGTGGTCTGGTAGACGATGTTTTTGCTGGCCAGGTAGATGTTGTAGCACGTCCTGACGGCCTGTAGCACAGTACCCTCGTGGACCTCCACATACTGGGACGTTAGAACCGTCAGAATCGCCTGAGAAACAGAGCAGAGCGGCTGGTTAGAGAATGTGTGAGGGGAGGACACCGCAGCAACATAGAACCAGTAAAACGCCTTTGGGCGAAGAACGAGCGAGCGAGATAGTGAGCCCTGCACGTGCGGAAGGGCGAGAGGGTGCTTCCAACGGGCTTGTGCAAAGCACCCTTCTAACCGGTCGCTAGCGGTGTGCCAAATTTGAACGCAATCGGCCCAGCCGTTACTGAGATCTGGAAGCGGCATTCTGCACGTGCGCACGTGCAAACGGGGTCCAAAATGACTTTTGCACGGCACCCTACTAACTGGTCCCCAACCGTGTACCAAATTTGAGCGCAATCGGCCCAGCCGTTCTCGAGATCTGGAAGCGCCCCCTGCACGTGCGCACGTGCAGTAGCACCCTAACCGCAACACATGGGAATGCATTGCCTGGTAGGTGCCTACCTGTATGCCAAGTTTCAGCGAAATCGCCCCAGGAATTACCGAGTTACTGAAATGGGAACAAATTTGGCACCTCTGATTGTTGTATTTTGCACGTGCACTGAGGGTGACCCACATACATCGAGAGTATCCTATTTTGGGTAGAAGGGATGCTGCTACCCAACAAAAATTACCGCAAGTCAATCGCCCAAGCGGCTGCTGAGATATGAGCCTCTCAAAATCACTACTTTTGCAAAACCGCTTGAACACCCTTGACATTTCACGTGGCACGTGCCACGACGGTCACTGAGATGTATCAAAAATAGTCAATTACGGGGTAGAAGGGATGGGGCTACCCAACAAAAAAGACCTCAGGCCAATCGGTCCAGCGGTTGCTGAGATATAAGCCTCTCAAAAGCGTTACAGGCCGGGCCGGGCCGGGCCGGGCCGGGCCGGGCCGGGCCGGGCCGGGCCGGGCCGGGCCGGGCCGGGCCGCTCATACTGAGATTTTTCCGTTATATTGAAAAGACTCACTTCGCTCGCTGCGCTCGCTCGCTCGTAATGACTGTCAGGACGGAGTCGGCATTTCTTAAAGACTTGTGATGTTTCACGGATGTGACCTACGTTTCATCTTTCGACGTGGAGTTTCGAGAAATTAGAAACACTTGACAGAGAAAAACAGACTTTCAGGCAATCTTCTCGCAACCTCTTAAAATTTACAGATTATCACCAGAATAACAGCGCGAAACCCTCGATCACCTCACTAGCAGCGTCACTACTCAGTATCGTGTGGTGGACCAGCTCCCCGTACCTTCAGTATCTGCAGCTGCACCTCCTCGTCTGTGTGCGCGCCGGTGAAGCAGCCGCACACGGTCTGTACGATACGGTCGATCTGGCGCTGACCTGCCGTCGGTGACGTCGGGTCCGGCCGGTCCCCCGTCAGGTGGCCGTAGGCAATCAGTTTCTGCAGGAGGGTCAGGAAGGAAGGGTTAAAGTTGGCGTGCCTCGATTGGTGTTACGATCGAGGAAAATTCAGCATTCTCACTAGTTCCAGCCTACTAAATTACAAGCACTTGACTGTGATTGGATCAGATAGTGTGAACTTAAAGGCCTCACAAAACTCTCAGCACTCTGCCAACATCATACATCAAACAATATTATCGATTCATCACAAAGCGCCGATTCATTGCCGTTGCACAATCCACACATGACGCCTGTTAGTCGGTTTCTCGCGTCACTAGGCCACAGATGTACGGCGAATGATCGTTCTTCCACCGCACATTAAACACCCCGCTGACCGCTCACAGCAGCAGACAGTGATTCAGCCATCAAAGAAGCCCCAGTGACCTGACACCCACCAAGCCGCCCCGAGCGGGAGTGGAACGAACGGCGACAAAACCGCAGGCATCTGACACAAGTGGCGGCTGAGCGACGAGCTCATGACACGGGAGCTTTAGTCACGGTCGCTGCTCGCTGGCTATAGTTTACTGTGGTGGAATTGGCATGGTTGGGGCTAAATATAAAGCGGAAATGCGTCGGCAGACAATATTTAAACATTCACCAATCTCCACCTTTTCAGTCCCTTGTACTCACCTGGAGACAGTCTAGCGCCGTGACGATGATTTTGGCCGACTTGGACTGGCAGGCCAGCTCAAACGGCAGCAGGTATTTGTCGGCCTGGAAGCCGCCGCCGGCCGTATCCTGGCTGGGCAGCGGCAGGGCCGAGCTGACGCCCTCGGGCGCTGCCGCCGGCTGGCACTGCGCCTTGGCCTCCTCTGCAGAGAGGGACAGACGGACAGGGTGTCGGTGGCAGGTAAAACTGACACACAAACAGATAGTGCCAACTGGATCAGGGAAGGTCAGATAAATGGGCACATGCAGCAATATTTACCATTTTTGACATGCTGAAAAAATCGATTAATTTAATGCCTATACTAACCAAACATACCTACTACAAAGCATGATTATTCTTGGGAGTTTGATGGTCACTAGCTTGAAAAAAATGTTTGACCTATAGAAATTGATCAAATAAAAGTTAAACATTACTTACCCAGTGCATCCTGGCAGGCTTTTCTCAGCTGAGAATGATGGGGCTTTTTGGTTTCTCGCTCTTGCAGAATCTTCTCAAGGGCTTTGATGATAAACATTTCCTTAGTTGTTCCTGTTTTCTGCATTGCTTATTATAGGCAAGTTAGAACTATCAGGAATTCAAAATAAGAAACATAGCCTTAAATTGAAAGGGACCTTTTACCAATATCCAAACAAGACTTGAGGTTCAGAATATTCTTGCAGCTGTAAAGCAGTGGACAAATGACCAAGTTACACATAACATATCAAACCTCCTTATGGTTCTCAGCATACACAGGCTAGAAAGGGTATCAACTATTTTCTTTTGCTTGTTTTATGATGGAGGCCAGCAGCCAGGGCCAACCCATATCAATAAGGTAGGTACCTAAACCAGATGCTCATCTAAATGCTTGAGGGGGAAAGTTACTAGTGGACTTCATTAATAAACTTCATTTGAGAGACACACAATCATATATGGAGCACTGAGCAGTGAGCAGTCACAGAGTGTGGGACTGGGGTGACTAACCCAATGCAGAAATACAACTGAACTGCATGGATTGCAGCCTTGGATTCTGCCTGATTCTGGGCTGAAACATCCGTCACTGGCCCAGTCTTATCAAATATCAAGGAATAGGAATCACACCAAAATAAGATCCTGTCAAACATGCCCTTTCAGATTAAACAATGTTAGACACTGAAAAAAGCAAAGTAAAGAAGACAACAAACAATTAATGGGTGGTTCTCTCTGGACCATAAATTAGCTCTATAACTACCACACTAATTATCCATGCACCATTACTGACCACTGTCTAAAAGCACCCCAGCTGGCCCAAGAGGGGACTGGGGCTCATTTGCATGCATTAGCGTATGCCAAAAACATCTGAAAGGACTAAAAAATAACAAACCTGCAAAACCTTTTCATGCTAATTAGCATAGCACTGAAATGCCTCATTATTATCACCAGTTTTAGCAAAATTTGTGTAGGTAGGTACCTACTGAATAGCAGACTGGACTGTAAGGCATGGCAGCAGAGTTGATGAGTCATTTCAGACAAGGTGACAAATTGGCACCAATCCATGCCAACCAAGCTGAAAATTCTCAACATACAGAACTTCAAACCTTTGCTATGAAGTTGAGAAACTTTAATTTCTGAGGAGAAAGTTGCAATAAAAGGGGATTTTTTGGCAAATCTGATGATACCTATATTTCCAACTGTCCAATAAATATATTTCCCTTTTCTGAAACAACTCGTTGAAAAACAGCTTTAAATACTAATTGTTATACCTATTCATGCCAAATTTGCCATTACCATGGCAGCCTGAGTTTGTTTGGTCCGGAGTCGTGGTTGCCAAATCCTTTTTCACACTCATCGGGAGCGTTCTATCTGGTTTACATAGCCTTGGTAGTATCAAGTCACAATCCGCAACTATCCGCACAAAATCCGCACACACCAGGGCCCTGTTCGATCGATGTTTTTATACCAGCGTGCTGTCGGTTTTCCCCATATAAGGAAGCTATTGCTGGCGCGGCTTGGCCTCTCATTGGTCTAACGAATGGACCACTTGAATTCGACCAATGAGAAGCCAAGAAGTAGCAGCATGGTCGCAGCCTGCTGATAAATAAATGGGGTGTGAACAGAGCTCTGCAGTCATTATCATTGCATCCTGGACTCTGGGTAGCAATTTGGAATTTGGGACGCACCTAACTGCTGAACTTATTTTATGACAAAGCACATGAAACTACAAAAATAATCAAACGCTGAAAACGTTCTCTAGTTAACATTAGGGCTCAATATTGATATTCCAATTTACCAAGGTAGGTACAAAAAATGAAAAGGCTTGGATACTGATACATGAATGAGATCTTCCTCATAAAGATTAACCGCATATTAAATGTAGTTCCTGGATCATAACTACATAGGACCTTGCTACATAGCGAAGCCAACAAAAATAATCCAAACAGTGCTGCCAGATGGGGAAGGCTGTAATCCTCCAGATCAGTTACAAAAATCCTCCAGATTCCTCCAAATCCTATTGGTAGATATAGAAAGGCGTTCTTGGACGCTGCGGGGGGCTATACCCCCAAAAAAGTTTCACCAAATTCTAAAAACTCATCGGATTTCGAATCCTTTCGCACTGCTGTGTGTAAGGAGCGCGAAGGATACCAGTGACGTCACAGTGTGCCACATATACGGTGGGGTAGACTGACCTTGAAAAGGGACGCGGAGACGCGGAGCGGGAGTCGCGTGGGCGCGCGGGGAGGGTTCGCTGGTGTTGTGCAGCATGTAGTGATTAATACAGAAATACGTTTCCAAACTCCTATCATCAGCGGTGGGATCTCGAATTGAAAGGTTGCTACCTGTGTTTTTGGGGTTGGAGCCCTGTCTGAAGCAGTGGATCGGGACGATCCGGGGAAACGTGTGCTGCAGATCGACTGTACGGTGTGGTACAGGGAGCAATGACCGACCAGCAGGAGGCTGGGGGTGAGAACGGTGGTGTGTTGCAAACAAACCAAGGAGGTGGTGCTGTCATGGCTTATGCACCGAGAACTCGGAGCTGGGGTGGGAGTTTGGGCCTCCCAAGCTTCAACCAGAAGGATTTCAGAAGTTTCTTTCGACAGATGAGGCGGCGAGTGGCCGTGGACCAGATGTCTGAGTCTGAAGTGTACGACTTGTGCATTTATGCAGTCGGGATGGAGTCGAAGTCTGAATGGCTAGCGACAAGGGTGGAAGAGAAACTTCCCAAAACAGACGAGTCTGTACCGAGTCTGAAGGACATAGAAGAATGCATCACCGAGTGTCTGGAGCCACAGCATGTGAAAGCATTCATCCTGAGGGATCTGGACCGCATGCAGCTGAGTCACGACCAAGATCCGAGAGAGTACGTCAACGACGTGTACGAGAAGGTGCAACAAGCTGTACCTGAAGGGAAAGCGGATACTTGGAAAATCATGGCGATTAACTACGCTGTGAAGGGTGCACCGGCGTCATGGCAGGTCAGGCTCCACGAAGCGAATTGTCAGTCGTTGGACACACTGGTGAGGAAGATGACCACGATACGACTGTCAGAGAAGTACCGCGATGACTCGAGAAACGCAGAAGCACGGGTGATGAAGGTCAACCGGTCAGGTTTGAAGTGCTTCGGATGCGGTCAGACTGGACATTTTGCCAGTAAGTGTCCAAAGAAGAGAGCAGAGACTAAGCATTGGAACCGTAAGTGCTACGGGTGTGGCAAAGAAGGTCACCTGAAGGCGCAGTGTCCGGAAGGAAAGGGCAAGACGCCGGATAGAGATGGCAGCGGATGCAAGAGGATCCAAACGAGTGAAGTCCAGATGACCGTCACGATAGAGGGTCAGCAGATCCAAGCTGTGGTTGACACAGGAACGAAGTTTAACCTGATGAACGACAAGATGGTCAGTCAACTAGGGCTAGAACTGTCAAAGGCGGTGATTCCGTCGCTCACCACAGCCGACGGGTCGGAGCTCGCCACAAGAGGCTGTGCGTGGGTGGAGATGGCGGTAAACGATGGACCAGAGAAAGCCACCATGTTTGTCGTGGTTAAAGACCTGACAGATGACGTGCTGATTGGGCTTGACACGTTGAAGGAGCTGAAGGCATCTATTCAGTGTGGTGAGATGCAGGTCACGGTGAAGAGAGTCCCAGAAGCCGTCCTGGATCAGTATCCGTCGCTGTTTGCTAGAGATGGTGAGGATATCGGGCGGGTGAAGAACTTCCAGTATAAGGTGCGCACGAGTGGTCCGCCAGTCGTATCAAAGCCGTACAAGATTCCCCTGCACTACCAGGAAGAGGTAGACCGCCAGCTTTCTGAAATGGAAGCACGAGGAACCATCTGCAAGAGCTCGTCGGAGTACGCGAGCCCAGTGGTGGTCGTGAAGAAAGGAGGGAACGAGCTGAGAATCTGCTGCGACTACTCGAAGTTGAACAAGCAGGTCTCGAAGGAGGCATACCCAATGCCAGCCTTGGGTGACGTCCTGTTGAAGCTGAGGGGTGGCAAGATTTTTAGTCACCTGGACGTAAAGAGTGCCTACCACAACGTGCCTCTAGATCCGGAGACCAAGCACAAGACGGCGTTTGCAGTTGGAGGCAGACTGTGGGAGTGGAACGTTCTTCCATTTGGCCTCTGCACGAGCGGACAGGTGTTCCAGCGTATTCTGGATGAGATCTTGGAGGGTCTAAACTTCGTAACGGCGTATGTAGACGACATCTGCATCTTCACAAAGGAAGACGACGAAGGACTGCACATGAAGCAGGTCCACGAAGTGTTGAAGCGGTTGGAAGCCGCTGGGCTCAAGCTTCGCCCAGACAAGTGCGAGTTCGCGCAGAAGAGCATCGTCTGCTTGGGGCACAGAGTGGCCCACGATGCAGTGAGTGCACTGGAAGACAAGACGGGGGACATCAAGAGCTGGCCAGAGCCTGAAAACGTGACAGAGCTGCGTCAGTTCCTGGGCCTGTGCGGTTTTTATCGCATGTTTGTCCCGAACTTCAGTGCGATCGCGGCACCGCTCACTGACCTGCTGCGGAAAGAGAGAACCTTCAAGTGGGAGAAGGCTCAGAGGGTGGCGTTCAACAGACTGAAGGAAGAGCTGTCGTCACCTCGGACCTTGGCGGAAGCCGACCCAAACCAAAGGTTCGTCCTGACATGTGACGCAAGTGAACTGGGATGCGGAGCAGTTCTCGAGAACGGGGGAAGGCCGGTCGCGTTCGCGTCAAAGCGATGGACGCCATCAGAAGCCAAGAAAAGCACGACGGAGCGAGAGCTAAACGGTGTGATCTTCGGCATCAAGAAGTTCGCCTACTTCTTGAAGGGCGCCAAGTTTCAGGTGGTCACGGATCACCAGCCCCTGACGTACATCAGAGACAAGCGCAATGCTGAAGAGCACCTGAAGGAGAAGTTGCTTCTGCTGGGAGACTACGACTTCGAGATAGAGTATCGCCCTGGGAAGGACATCCCACATGCAGACGCACTGTCGCGGAAGCCGGCGCGACGGGTCGCGGTGACGGAAGCGGACGTGGCAGAAGCCGTGGAAACCGACCAGCGTTTGAAGGTCGTTCGGGACGGATTGCTGACTGGAGGTCGGTGGAACACAGACGATCCGGAGTTGAAGTTCTACCAGAAGGACAGAGGAAATCTGACGGTGGAAGATGGAGTCATCTGGAGATCCTCCAGGAACGGAGAAGAAAAGCAGATCGTGGTACCGACTCGACTCCGGAGAACGGTACTCAAGCTCGCCCATGATCATCCTGGAGCGGGACACATGGGGGTGCGACGCACCTTGGCAAGGATAACCGCGCACTACTACTGGTTTGACGTCAAGAAGGATGTCAGAAGCTGGATCGGGAACTGCCTGGTCTGTGCAAAGAGCAAGATCCACCGGGCGAAGCAGCAAGAGGGAATCGGAACCGTTCCTGTTTTGGGACAACCGGGGACGCAGTGGGGTGCCGACATACTAGGTCCTCTGCCGAGAACGGATCGCGGCAACAGGTATGTCCTCGTAGTGACGGACCTATTCACCAAGTGGGTCGAGCTGTTTGCTCTGAAGGATGTAACTGCAAGGACGGTCGCAAGGAAGGTGTCAAAGGTGTTCAGACGTTTCCCAAACAGTCGAGAGATCCTGACGGACCAAGGGAAGAACTTTGAGTGCGACCTGATGCGGTCCCTGTGCGAACTGCTGCAGATAAACAAGCTGCGCACGACTGCGTATCACCCGCAGGGGAATGGCCAGACGGAGCGCTACAACGCGACCCTGTGCGACCTGCTCCGGTCGTACGCGGAGACGAAGGAGTGGGACGAGATGTTGCCATGGGCGGCATCGGCGTTCAACACATCAGTGCACACCAGTACGGGGTATGCACCGCATGAGCTGGTGTACGGAAGCACGCCAGTGGGAGCCGTGGTGCACGAAGTGCAAGGTGCTCCTGTACCAGACGTCGTGAAGACGTATGCTGAGTACGACAAGGACTTGCGCTCGGGCGTCCAGAAGAAGACGAAGGAGGCGCTGGAAAACATCAAGAAGGGGGTGCGTGGTCGAACGGAAGAGCCGAGGGGAGACGGATTCGCTGAAGGAAGTTTCGTAATGATGAAGAAACAACGACGCAGGCAAAAGCTACAACCTCTCTGGGAGGGACCATATGAGGTACTGAAAAGAGAACGCCCGGACTACATCATCCTACGGAGAGGCGCGCAGTACAGAGTCCATGGGGCACATCTGAAGGGCTGGAAAGGAGACTATACGGGTGACCCTGAAGATGAACCAGATACGGAAGAAGAGCCGGGGTCGATCTCCGCTGGAGAGGGTGAAGTGATCTTCGGAGAGAGCGAGGCGGAAGACGTCGATGAGCGAAGTGTCGCCGAGGAGACGCATGATCCGGCCGAAGCAGATGCTGGACACTCAGCGCCGGACAAGATGGAGGAACCGGAGGACGAGCATGATAGCCTAGGATTTCTTCCAAAGACGAGTCGCTTTGGTCGAAAGGTGACACGCAATAGGCGTTACATGTGAGTGTATGTGTCCCAGCGCTCCTGTCAATTGTTTTAAGGATAGGGGGATGTAAGGAGCGCGAAGGATACCAGTGACGTCACAGTGTGCCACATATACGGTGGGGTAGACTGACCTTGAAAAGGGACGCGGAGACGCGGAGCGGGAGTCGCGTGGGCGCGCGGGGAGGGTTCGCTGGTGTTGTGCAGCATGTAGTGATTAATACAGAAATACGTTTCCAAACTCCTATCACTGTGCAGTTTAAAAGATACTTTTTCTTATAAAAGTTGTTTAGTTTTCGTTTTATCTTTAAAAAAAAACGAAAATTTTCGTCGATTTCGGGCGTTGCAGGGGTACCGGGGGCATTTGCCCCAAATGTCCCCCTTAGATCCGCCCGTAGTTTGGTACCCTCGTAGATATAGCTACAGACTGAGACATTCTGCAGTCTCACGGTGATAAAGGACGTGATATATCCTAAAGGGTAGGGTGACGCTGGGCAGGAAAATGCCTTTTTAGTCTTGAATGTGTTATATTTTTCCATGAAATTGAATATAATAATCGGGCGACAAATCCTCCAGATTTTCCTCCAGAATCAAAAATCCTCCAAAAGCGAAATTTGTCCGCAAATAGGACAAAAACGTAGTTCTGGCGCAGACAAGACAGTTAAGTCTGAGCTATTTATGTTCGAATATCTGAATCTGACCATGAATATCTGCTGCATCTGCTGCTATGAGCAGCAGATTCTCGAATGTCAGCCTGCTGCAATGTTGACGGACATCTTCCATATATGACAAAAGCATCAAATGCCATTGACTCCGAACAGCTCACTAGAAGGAGCCTTGGTTACGTGGAGAGCGTCGTCATATTGGTATGCAATTATCTGAATATTGTTGTATGCAATGATAAGTTTCCTATATTTTTTACTGCAAGCATGTAGGAGTTCTCTTTTCCTGTGATAAGCATTTTACCTGAGATTTATCCCTTTTTTCGTTTTCACTAAAAATGTGCCTACAAGCATAGGCGTCGCCAGAGATTTTCGGTTGGGGGGGGGGGGGCAAAATCAACTTTTGTGTTAAAACTTACCTTTCCCCAGTCTTTACTCACTCGTTTTACATATCATTTGACACGCAATGGTGCGAGGAATCCGATGGTGACAAAGGTTTTCTTCTAGCTATGACATGTAATTTTTTACAGAAAAATTCGAAATTTTGAAATTTCATGACAAAAACGACTGGTAGAATTATAGTATATAGTGGCTGCGATTGCCGATGCACTGCAGAGGGCCCCTGTGTAGATGCTCCACGCTCATGATCATTACCCAGAAAAAGTGAAAAACGCTCCATTTAATCAGACCACCTTGCTAAAATCTCCATTCACGCATGCATGCAGAGGTTTTACGTGAAATGCATAGGACTTATCCCAGCCACCGATCGTAGCTAAGTTGGGCATTCGGCGGAGAGTGAATGTCGGAAGTGTGAATCGGAAGTAATTCATCTTTGCTCAAGTGAGAGGAAGTGTTTTGTTCACTCGAGTGTGAACAAAAGTATCTCGTTTTTCGTGTGAAGGGAAGCGCTGCAAACGCGAACAAAAACTGTTAAACAGAATCAAAAGTTACGCACGGTATAGCGGCAAGGGATCCCTAAGAGATAGGTTTGGGACTTCCAGGCTATTTCAGGCCACTCAGGGTCAGTGCTGACTCTCAGAAGCATGCTTAGGATCCCGGAGATCGGCGTGGGTCACCTCAAATATTTACGTGTACGTGGTGCTTTAGGGCTTTCCGAGCACAAGGTGGGGCCCTCAGAAGCCAGTGTGGGCGGCGGGCGCTAAGAGACTAGGCCCAGGGTGAGCCTGGAGCCCTCGGATAACAGTGTGAACCCTCGGGGTCTGTGTCGAATCCCTAAGGACCATACGTAGGGACATAATAAACATGTGTTGCGGACCTCAGAGGGACACGTGAGCTGTGACCCCTCAGATGCCGGCTTGGGGTTAGCAAAGTCTGTCGCGTCAAAAGTTTGGCTGAACTATCAGAGGCCAGTTAAGGTTCTCAGAAATGTTTGAAGGCTCAAAGATCCCTGTATGGGCCCTCAGAGAACATGGACACCAGTGGGACTTTCAGAGGCCCGTTTGGGCCCTCTGAAAGCTTCTTTAGGGCTCAGTGGAGCTCCTTAGGAGCCTTTGTTTAAAGCAAGCTTATGAGTCCTGCGACACTTGTACGGTACTTGACCCGCGCACCGACGGGGGGCGGATATCCGCCCCCCCCTGAGGTTTTTCGCGAATAGCGGGAAAACCGCGGGGCGTAGCGCCGCGAAATTTGGTATGACTATAACCTCATTAATTTTACACATGGTGTGCAAGTTTGAACCTCCTACCTTTTAAGGTCAGGTCACCAGGTCACTTTGAATGACCCAACCTCAAGTCACTTTTTTGCAACTTTGTCACCGTGCCAGAGCTACAGTAGATGTCGGAGGCCTTTGAAAGTCGCAGGATATTATTAGGTCATTAGTAGCTACAATTTGTATATCTCGGAATTTTGATATCGGTGACCTAAGGTCAGGTCAATTTCGCGACCTCCCCATTATACATAAGTCAATGGGGGAAAAATCAACTCCCTGTTTTTACCACTAAAACGGGTCGGAATGGCCCCATATACCATACATGACTTCATATACGATCAACCTTCACTACCTTGAGGTCTGTTTTGCTGTTGGGCAGCTGTGAGGTCATGTGACGTCATCAAAGGTCACCAAAGGTTTTTGGCCAATAACTCCGTACAGGAACAAGATACAGACGCGTGGATGGTCTCATTGTGTTCAGCTCGTCAAGACGCATCGAATGATATAAATGATGACCTCGAGGTCACGTGACCTGAGGTCAACCTTTGACCTTGACCTTTCGAGGTCAACATATATATCATACGATGCGGATTGACGAGAGGATCACGATGATGCCCTTAGTTTGTTCCTATCTTGACTAATTCGAGAGTTATTCGAGAAAAACTCTCTCCATATCTAGCGCCGTCATTTTGACTTTTTCGACCCCTGTGACGTCATTTTTGACCTGACCTGAAAATGACCTTAGTAAAAATTGTAGATCTTGGCCGTGCGTATCCGATGCCGTTTACCGCTTGTCGCTATCTTGCTTCGTTCTCGAGATCTCAGGGGGGGGGGGGCGGTCATCCGCCCCCTCCCCCCGTCGGTGCGAAGTTGGCGCAGACCCCCGTCGGTGCGCGGGTTAAGCCTTTCGCAGACATTTGACGAGAGTTGAGAAAGGCCTCGAAGATTTCGTTTCACGCTTTGAACGAAAATTGTGTCAGCACTCCAAAACTTATGAAAATCAGCTGTAAAATGTAATAAAGAACGAACTAGGAACATGGAATGAATCACAGCATTGACATTTCCGAGTCTGGACTCGGAGTCTTGAAGATTTTGGCGACTGCGAGTCAGACTCTGGTTTAAACTGCACGCTCCAACCGAGTCTGACCTCACAGACATTCTCAGAAAGGTACCCCCCATTTTTTCCCGACTCCAAAATCTCATCGGATCTGTATCGATCTCAGGGGGTGTCCGGTCCGAGGTTGGGGGGGGGGGGGCAAGCTGCCCCGCTTGCCCCCCGTGGCGACGCTTACAAGACAAAGACAGATTGACAAACCCGCCCCTTGGACTTCAGTTGGGCAAACTAGACCGAAATCGAATCACCGAGATATTGCAACTACTACAAAACTGACACCTCTTCGTTTTGCACGTGGCACGTGCATAAGGGGTTACCCACATGCATCGGGAATAGTCCAATGCCTGGTAGAAGGAATGAAGGTACCCTACAAAAATTACCGCATGTAAATCGGTCAAGTGGTTGCTGAGATATAAGCGTCATAAAATCGAAACCACGGCCGGCCGCTCATACTCAGAAATTTCCGTTATTCTATGTAAGACTCCGCTCGCTTCGCTCGCTCCGTAATGAGTATTTGAAGTGAGTTGGACTTGTTCTTATGTGACCTTTAATAAATAAAAAGTGTTGCATTATCCCCTATTCTTCTAATATAAGTTACTGTTCTTTTATCCAAAATTGACATTGACAGTCTCAATTTCAGGTCTAATTTTCTGCATAGGAAACCTGAAACTGTGGAAAGTTTCATACAACTTTGATACCTAATACAAGAAAATCTAGTGAAAGTAGCTGTCCTTAACAACATCTTAACTTAAGCTTGCTGGAAGCCTGATATATTAAAAGGTTTGGAGGACTTTGGTAAATTTTGGTCCATTGATCTTGCATATGATAATGATCATCGCAGTTTATTGCATTGCATTAATTCTGTCTGTTGGTTTTTGGGCATTTAATTATGCAAGTCTTTGGATGTTTGGAGATGGTAAGGAAAAGATGATCTGGTGTTTATTAAGGATGAATAGTTGCATCATAGCACAATAATTCTGATGATTCATGAACCTGCCCTTGAATTGCTTTTTACTTGTAATTACCAAGCTTGCTCCAATTTCGAACCTTCTGCTTTGGTTCCCTACTCTGAGTTATTTTTCTCTGACTCAATCATCGCCTGATGCCCACCTCTGAAGGCCAGAGTGTATGATTTTATTTTCAAAGTCACATCTGCAGCTTGACCCTGCTAAACTAACATTTTCTTCCTGCTGAAGGTATGCTAGAGGAGTTATCCGACTTTAAACGGGCCAGTTTCAGAGACATGTTCGTCGGTGCGCTGGATCGCGGCCCTGGTGGTGCCGGTGGCGATCGCCCACCACGGCCTGAGGAAGGGCAGCCTGGACAGGAGCGGCGCCGCCGCCGGTGAGTGGCCACCATCAGTCGGCAGAGAGAGGGTACCAGTGCGATCGGAGCATGTTGGTAATTGTCTGTCGCCTGTCGGTTTCCTTGGACGACTGTAGAGTGGCCGGTCGTTAATCGGTCGTAGTCGATACCTATCCACCGTCATAAGTTCTCAGTTCTTTCGATCGTTGGTTGATTGCTATGCTATAACGCTTAAGTACAGTATTAACGTCTCGCTATAGGCCTGCCCGGTGATTTCATTGCCCCTCGTTGTTACTGGATTCCTTATTTGCTTTGCTGACCGCACATGCCGGTGTTTTCAGGGTTTTTAGTCGGCTTTTTGCTCACTCTGGCCAACTGGACGTTCCTGGTTATGCTTCTCACATTCTTCCTCTCATCATCGAAGGCGACCAAGTTCAGGAGTAAGCAAAAACAAAAGTTTGAAGATGATTTTAAAGAAGGTATGTACTTACAACTTACAAGCAACCGATGCTGCAATGTTGTTATCGCGATACTATGTCGACATTGGGATGTTTCGAAGCGGATTATTTGGCGATGTATAATGATACCATGGTATTCAGTGTAATCTGACGAGCATATTGTTTTTTGCTACTTCAAGTTTGTTGCTTGAGCACTTCTATTCATCATCGGGATATAAATCACGAACGTTACCAAATCGCCGAATGCGGTCGTTATCTGAATATTTCTTACTTATCACCGTACAGTTGTGAGCTCCCCCCCCCCCCGTTCACCAGCGCTGTCCCCTGTTCCGATTCTCACCCCGTCTACACCCCCTCCCACCGCCAACTACCGACAGGCGGGCAGCGCAACTGGCGCCAGGTGCTCTGTAACGGCGGAGCGGCCGCTCAGTTCGCCTGCCTCTACATGATCGAGTGCGGCTGCCACGAGCACCCCATCGACTTCCACGAGCACTTTCACAGCTCCGTGCTCGCCCTAGCCGTGCTCGGTACGGACGGGGGGAGAGGGGTGGGGGGAGAGAGAGGAGGACGGGGTGGAAGTGTCAAAAGATCAATAGATTATGCCTACTAGCGACCCTGCTGAGTTTACGGTATTCGTCTAAATGCTGAGAATGTTGAAGAATTTAAGTTCGACCGAATATCCCTTTCTCTGCCACTCTAGATTTTAACTCAAATCTGGACAACATGTATACTATCTTTTCCTTGGTGCTGTGACCTGATTTGAATCACCTTGACTGGTGATTCAAATCAGCTCGCTGACGCGTTAGCTCGCTGGCGGCGGCTAACGCGAACACGTGTGTGTCGGAGCTGATCACGTGATCTTTTGCACATGCTCGCTGGCGGCGGCTAACGCAGACACGTGGGCGTCCGAGCTGATCACGTGATCTTTGTCACAGGGTCGCTGGCGGCGGCTAACGCGGACACGTGGGCGTCCGAGCTGGGGACGGTTCTGGCGCGGGGTCAGCCGCGACTCATCACTAACCTGCGAAAAGTGCCCACCGGTGAGACGGCGCGGTCACGGTCAGGGTGGGTGGCTGTGGTGGAAACTGAGGGAAAGTAGCGGGAGGGTCCGGCATTATCAGTCTAGAATGATAACTGGTTATCGACATCGGCCAGAGCTTTATTGGTTGGCAGTGAACATGTCATAATCGTTAGTTGTGCAGCAGTCCTTCGAGTAGTGCACCTTAAACTAGTCCCACATTTTATAAGAACCGATTCACAGACTTTCAGTTTTCAGAATTTAAATCAACCTGCATTCTAGATAACAATCATTCCGATGTATTCTGACCCCCCCCCCCCCCCCCCGCCCGTCCCTTGTCGCTCCCCAGGCACCAACGGCGGCGTCTCGGTGGCCGGGACGCTGGCCAGCCTGCTGGGCGGCGCGCTGGTCGGGCTGGCCTGCTGGCTGACGCAGCTGGCGGCGCTGGGCGACCGCTCGCTGGCCACCCGGCCGCCCCAGTGGCCGCTGGTGACCGTCGGACTGCTGGCCGGACTGCTGGGCAGCACCGTCGACTCGCTGCTGGGAGCCACGCTGCAGTTCTCGGGTACGGAAAACTCGCTCAGATATCATAGAAAAATACCATAGAGCTGCGCCAAATGACGCTCGTCGCCGAGGCTTCCTTAAACTCAGACCATCATCTTAATACCATAGAAGCCTACATATGAACACGGTTAAACTCGGGATAAGCAGTCGGAGATGTGACAGTGTTGAGTGAAGGTGAGACTCAGAGACCGGAACACCCATCCGTGCCCCTCCCCGTGCATACGTGTGATGCTGTTATGACTGAGGGGGCGTGGTGATGGACCGTCCCTCTTATCCCTTCCTCTCTCTCTCTCTCTCTCTCTATTCCTCCCCAGGTGTGACCGAGAAGGGAGTGGTGGTGGAGCGTCCCGGGACCGGTGTGCGCCCCATCAGCGGCCGCCCGCTGCTGGACAACCACTCTGTGAACCTGCTGATGACCATCGTCACTGGGTGTTTGACGCCGCTGCTGGCGCACTCCCTCTGGCCGGCCGGACTCCTCTGACGGGCGCCGAGGGAATACTGCTGATGTAGCACCTCTGACGGGCGCTGAGGAAATACTGCTGATGTAGCACTGCTGAGGGAATGCCAACATTGACGGATCTTCAACGGGCCGTTGACGAGTGACGTAACTGACGGAACGCTGGCGGAACACCCAAAACACTGACGGAACACACAGAACACTGACGGAACACACAGAACACTGACGGAACACACAGAACACTGACGAAACACACAGAACACTGACGAAACACACAGAACACTGACGAAACACTACTGATACACCACTGACAGAACATCAACAAAACATTGACGCAACACTGACGTAACATGACTGACGTATCACTGACGTAACACCGCTGACACTCTGATCGGGTACTGACTGAGCACAGGCGGAGGCTCGGGTACCTCAGCCTCTTCGCTTGACAGCTGGTAATGGCCACCGACACTGGAAACACTCTGATTCGTTCTCAAAAAAGTTAATTGTTTTCAAAACGGGTTTCGCTGAGGAAAAATATTTGGTTATAATATTTAGTTTTCCTCAGCGAAGCCCGTTTTGAAAACAATTAACTTTAACTAAGAGATTAACTAAGAGATCTATTAACCTGAGGAAAAGAATAATGACGCTTCGGCAGCTCTGATTCGTATAAAGATGTTATTTACTGAGGCCGTTTAACCGACTCGTCCGCCGTAAGATATCCCCCTGTCCGTTTATGGCACATTATGATATTCATGCTTGTTCGGTGGTAATACCGACACGTTAGCACTGCGAACCGTCAGATCAACTATAGGTAGTGGGCTGTAGGGATAGATGGTGTGTTTACTTAGCATTTAGTGTCCCATTGTAATAACACCTGTGTCAGGTTTTATATATTTTCAGCAATCAGTTGGAACACGATGAGCATGAATCCTTCCAACGCCCACAAGATAGTTGCTTTGGTGATTGCGATACTTGCTTAGCGATACTGCAAACTCCGTGGACTGTCCACACACCGCTGGACCCCACGTTCGGAGTTTTACGGGATGGCTTCCTCCCACAATGATTGTAGTTTACACCAGCGTTCCCATTGAATGGTATTCGCTTCCACCGCTCCCTGCCTGAGTGGCGCGAGATCTATAGTAGTAGTGCACGTCTTAGTGTGACAATGCGACTCAAATGATAGTCTTTCTTAGTACGACCCTCCCTATGTCGCTTTTCAAAGGATCACGAGAACCGTCGTTATGGAAGGGTCGCTCCTCCATCATCGATCGTAATTTCGCTGAATAATGCCAATGAAGAATAATAAAGGGATGGCTGCTCGTCTTAAGCAGAGCGTAAGAAAGGGCGGTAGCAGTATTTCAGCAATGGCCCATTCATTTTTTATGGTATCAGTGATACCAATGATAATCATTTCAATAATCAGGGATCAACATCAATTATAATTATTGTAAGTGGATGGGTGTAGCATTAGGGGAGATACATGAAAACCAACTCCAGCCGGGACTAGCCGGGAATAGAGGATCCGTCTACTTGTAAAATAGATACCTATGTTTCATTTGTCTGCTTTGGCTGAGTGCAATGTTTCCGCTACATATGGGTGGTATTTTGTTATGCGTTTTTCGACCCTTGGGAAGAACGTTGTAGCTGTGTAGTGCTGGTGTCATCTGATAAGCTTTTGTTTGCTACCTTGTTGGTGATGTGTTTTATTGTTATCCTGTACCTATGGAAAGGCGGAGAATACACGATCACTGCTTCACGTGTCACTCGCGTCCCGTGTGCACGTAATATGGAGTTAGGTTACACATCCGGATTGTGCATACACCATATTCTCTTGTGTTTTCGTTACAATGGCACAGCATAATGGTGCTGTTAGCTGTCCTTGACGTTTACTGACTGGTGCTCGTTTCAGACACTGGTATTTGGTACCAGGTCAACAAACAACCGGAAGAATGTCGAATAACTAATGTATTCAAATTGAAATGACAAAAATAACAAATGTAGCCTAACATCATCGGCACCGCGCACTGACAAATCGGCAGAGGCCGGTCTCCGCCTCCGTCCTCGACTCTCGACTGGTGCGCCCGAGGTCACGTGACATCACCTGACGCGTATCACATCACTTTCCACCACATCTATCACCCTTCCATGACAGTTGATAACCTTCACTGCACCAGACTGGGCCATTATCCAGTGTGTGGTATTACTCGTTATCCAGCGGGCGTCATCTAGGCCGACTTGACAGCCACAGCCTCGATCTCAACACGTCCACCCTGGGGAGTCGGGACACGGGGGGGGGGGGGGGCAAACCTTGGGTCAGACAACGTCGCGTTAGACCCGGTCTGGAAATTTATATGCGCAGTATCACACTGCCACCCAGCGGCATTTTATATAGGCTACGCTTAATGCGGGACGGTATCTGCAGACGCACTATTGTGCCGCCATCTAGCGGCATTTATATTAGGTAGGTGCAATGCGGGACAGTATAGCTGCGGGCGCAATATCGTCCTGCCATCTAGCGGCATTTATATAAGCTAGATGCAATGCGGGACAGTATAGCTGCAGGCGCAGTATCCCACTGCCATCTAGCGGCATTTATATGAGCTAGGTGCAATTGCGGGACAGTATAGCTGCAGGCGCAGTATCCCACTGCCATCTAGCGGCATTTATATAAGCTAAGTGTAATGCGGGCGATTTTAGGACTAAAGTACGTATCGCTAAAGTACGTAGGACAAAAGTACGTATGCAAATGTTCGTACGCAAATATACGTAGGCGATAAAGTTCGTATGCCAAAAGTACGTACGCAAATGTTCGTACGCAAAAGTACGTATGCAAAAGTACGTAGTGCATAAAGTACGTATGTCAAAAGTACGTACGCAAATGTTCGTACGCAAAAGTACGTATGAAAAAGTACGTAGTGCATAAAGTACGTATGTCAAAAGTACGTACGCAAATGTTCGTACGCAAAAGTACGTATGCAAAAGTACGTAGTGTAAAATGTACGTATGACAAAAGTACGTACGCAAATGTTCGTACGCAAAAGTTCGCATGCAAAAGTACGTAGTGTATAAAGTACGTGTGCCAAAAGTACGTACGCAAATGTTCGTACGCAAAAGTACGTATGCAAAAGTACGTAGTGTATAAAGTACGTATACCAAAAGTACGTACGCAAATGTTCGTACGCAAAAGTTCGTATGCAAAAGAACGTAGTGTAAAAAGTACGTTGCCAAAAGTACGTACGGTTCGTATGCCAAAGTACGTAGTGTATAAAGTACGTATGCTAGAAGTAGGGTATAGTAGTGTAAGTTGAGCCACTTTTTCTTGCTGCTCTGTTGCCATACTACAGGGAACTCATGATAAATTCATATACCAAATAATATAGCTTTGTCCATTTCGCCCATTTACTCATCGAGAAATTTTGCTATGCCTTGTAACAAATGCTCATTAAATAAAGAATAAGAAAGGTATTACACATTGATCAACTTAACCCAAGGGTGGGGTACGTACTTAATACCCTACGTACATTTGCTATACGTACTTTTGTCCGTGACGTACTTTTGTCCACACGTAGGGTAGACCGGGGCAAGTCGCCCCGCCGAGGTAAAACGCCTCACCGATGTTTCTCGGAACTGGCAGGGTTCTGGGAAACTAATCCTCTCTTCTGGTAATTCCAACCACCGCAGTCCGGGGAGGGGCGTTTTTCGCCCCCCCCCCCGTCTAACTCCGTAAATAAGAGAGCTACGCAAACAAAAGCGATACCAAACGGTTGGATTATTTGCAGTTGCTTCACAAAGCACTTCCTAGCTGGGAGTCCGATCTTAAGTGAATGGATTTGAGGGATGGAATTTAAAGTAAAATGTCCAAAGAACACATTGAGCACAAATTTGGCCTTCGAGGTGATGTGAGACAAAAGAAGGTACCTATGTAGCAAAATAAATTATCTGGGGCGTCTTGCCCAAGGCTATCCTACTTTATACCCTACGTACATTTGCTATACGTAGGCTTTTGTACGTGACGTACTTTTGTCCATACGTACTTTATACCCTACGTACTTCTGCGATACGTACTTTTGTCCGTGACGTACTTTTGTCCATACGTACTTTTTACCCTACGTACATTAGCTATACGTACTTTTGTCCGTGACGTACTTTTGTCCATACGTACTTTATACCCTACGTACTTCTGCGATACGTACTTTTGTCCCTGACGTACTTTTGTCCATACGTACTTTATACAGTACGTACTTCTGCGATATGTACTTTTGTCCCTGACGTACTTTTGTCCATACGTACCTTATACTGTACGTACTTCTGCGATACGTACTTTTGTCCTTGACGTACTTTTGTCCATACGTACTTTATATTGTACGTACTTCTGCGATACGTACTTTTGTCCCTCACGTACTTTTGTCCATACGTACTTCATACTGCACGTACTGCTGCGATACGTACTTTAATCCTACGTACTTTTGCTTACGTACTTTTGTCCTACGTACTTTAGCGATACGTACTTTTGTCCGTAACCCAATGCGGGACAGTATAGCTGCAGGCGCATTATCCTACTGCCATCTAGCGGCATTTATATAAGCTAGGTGCAATGCGGGACAGTATAGCTGCAGGCGCAGTATCCCACTGCCATCTAGCGGCATTTATATAAGCTAGGTGCAATGCGGGACAGTATAGCTGCAGGCGCAGTATCCCACTGCCATCTAGCGGCTTTTATATAAGCTAGATGCAATGCGGAACAGTATAGCTGCAGGCGCAGTATTCCACTGCCATCTAGCGGCATTTATATAAGCTAAGTGCAATGCGGAACAGTGCAGCTGCAGGCGCACTATTGTACTGCCATCTAGTGGTATTTATATAAGCAAGGTGTAATGCGGGACGGTATAGCTGCAGGCGCGCTATCGCCCTGCCATCTACTGGCACTAATGTAGGCTGTTATACGGCCTTGGGCTGTGCGTTACTCGAGTCGGTGCTACGGGCGCACGTTGTAGCGTTATCTACCGAACAAATATAAGCATAGAGGCTTCTTTTGCTTCTTTTAACCCGTGGATGAAACCTTTACAGAGCAGGAATGATATATATTCTTGAGCCGAGATCTGTAATTGTATAGTGAACAGCAAAAGTTCAGTCAGTAGGTAGTCACTAGATTCGAGATCGTCGATCCTTTCGTTAGTCCCACTCCCAAGAGTTGCGGAAATCTCACCTTGGGCAGTGCTGCCACCTGGTAGGCGGCACGCGCAGGGAACTGCTCGGTGAAAACTGAAACGGAACGATCGACTCAATCACGGAATGATCCAGTTACGGAATGAATTAAACTCTGATTATTCGGGAAGACATCGTCGCTCGTAACCTAGGCCACCACCTCTGTTATCACGGCCCACGTCAGACTGGCAATGCCGGTCGTACTTGTCACATTTCTACGTCACATCGTAAGCAAGCGCCGAGCGGGATACATGTCCGTTGTGTAACACATGTCCGACTGTGACACATGTCCTGAGAAATAACAAACACCGGCCCCGACCCCGTCCACGGCAACTTACATGTCTTGTAAACATCGTTGACCTTCACAAAGTCGTTCATGTCGGCAAGGAGGACGGTCGCCTTGACAACTGAAAGCACACAAACGAATCAAAGTGAATAATAAACCAGAGGATTGAAGCCGTCTTTATCATAGTTATATCACTACAGCAAATCGGAAGAACCATAAATGGGACTGTCCCTCCGAACATTTCACAGTTTCCCCGATCCGGAATGCCCATTTGACAAGTCCCACTGTGTCTATATGTCCCCCGCGACTGCCTTAGGTATCTGTCCCGCTCCGCCGCCCCACCCTTCTATCCCAGGGAGGATATCTGTCCGTCCGCCCATCCCACGGCGTCCCACGGCGTCCCATCCGTCCCACCAGCCCCAGTCGACTGTCCGCGGTCGGTGGTTTACCGTCGCTGTGGCTCATGCCGGCCGCCTGGAGGATGTGCCCCATGTTCTCCAGCGCCATCCGTGTCTGGGCCTCGACGCCCTCCTGCAGCTGGCCGCACGTGTCCATGCCCAGCTGGCCGGAAATGTACAGCGTCCGGTCCACCAGCACCGCCTGGCTGCCGGTCACAGGTCAGGTCACAGCTCAGGTCACCGTCTGAATGAAGGAAACAGGTCGGTTCAGGGCTGGTCAGTGGTCAGTACCGACTGACTGCTGGGTCAGGTCAGGTCAGGTCAGTACCGTCTGGCTGCAGGGTCAAGTCAACAACGACTGACTACAGGGTCAGAGGTCAAGCCAGAGATCAGATCACCGTCCGATTAGGACACAGGTCAGGTCAGGTCAGGTCAGCTCTGCCTGGCTGCGGGTCAAAGGTCAGGTCAGAGGTCAAAGCAGCACCGCCTGACAGCAGTAAGAGGTCAGGTCAGGTCAGTACTTTTTGGATACGGGTCAAAGGTCAGGTAAATGTTACCTATGGGGTTCCAGACCACGTAACACACTGCCTGTGCCGAAGCAGCCCAGTATTGGTCAGAAATGTCGGGTCACGCACCGGTCTGGTCAATGACCCCTGAGTGACGGCCACCGTCCTGTCCTGTCCGTTTCACTTTGGTAAGAGCCGGTCAGGTCAGATATTAGGTCAGCTCAGAATTCAGATTAATGCTTCTGGGTTACAGATTAGGTCACGAATAGTTCCTATTCTGACTAATTGAGAGGTCAGGTAAAAAAGGAAAAGAAAACGAACCACAGCAAGCTCAGGTGAGCACCTCACACCACTATTAGCTATGGTTCGAGGGCTCATCCCCTATAATCTGCCGACGAATCGGATAACGTTACACCCGCCCTGCTGATACACTTCTACCAGGGTGATATGCCACGATTATGACGATATTCTGCTTCACAATGAGACCTCAAGTGGGCCACTCCGCCTGTCAGTTTCAGACAAAATGAAACGTCATGCCAGCGGTACGTAGTGATCTGACGGCACGCTTCCATCTCCCGGCCGCAGTTAAGATATTCAAATGGATTCAGATCTCGGTCGAACCCAGGCCGTTCCATACCTGTAGGGCCCGATGGCGGCCGGCGCCTTATCCGTGTGGATGGTCTGCTTCATGACGAGCCGGCCTGCGCGGGACACCTGACCTCCTATGGTCGCAGCTGGGGGTCGACTGCGATACGGCCACTGGCGGGGGGGCGTGAGCACAGCAGTACCAGACGCGGCACAGACGGAGTACACCAGGCACAGAGTGGAGGGGGAGGGTATACCGCTGCCACACCACGCGCCCCACGGCCGGCCCGGCTAACCCAAACACTGCCGGCCCCCGCCCCTCCGCCCGTCCGTCAGCCGGCCGGCCGAGCCCCCAGCAGCCAAGGACACGAGCCTGCCAACTGGCGACTGCGCTGCTGGCAGCGGCGGGGCCAGGATTACTAACGGGATCGTCAGTCACGGTACCAGACAATGTACGACGAAAGACGAAGAAGATGACGACAGCTTGCATACATCTTCAAAAAGCCGAGGCACGAGCGTATAATGCTATCTCAGCGCCCAGAATAAACGTGCCTGGGCGCGCCCCTTGTAATGGGTCACGCGCTCATGAAGAGGCGGTGGGGGCTGGGCGGTGTGCCGGTGGGCGGGGTCGGGGGGGGGGGGGGGTCAGATGACGGCCAGCGTGCGGTCGGATGTGAATTCTGTCTGGTGGCACAGGTGAGAGCCCGCTGAGGCCAGCTGTCACAGCACGCGCCGGGACGGTCGGCCAGAACAGCTGGGACGCTGAGGGTTATGATTTTTTTTTTTATAACATTCGCGAGTCATTTGTAGAAAGATCTCCGATGATTGACAAAATGCATACAACCTTTTTGGACCCCCACATACCTAAAAATATATGTTTTTATTATTCTATACAGCTACAAGTTAACGTGACAAACGAAAACCCTCCATTTGAGAGATAGATTTGTCAGCCCAAGTAAATTTGCATTTAAATTCATTACCAGGCGAAACGTATTCAAATTTCTCGTAAAGTGTCTAAAAGCATTAATTCCCCTTCAACAATTATCCCAGCCCTTCTTTTGACCCCACCGCAGAGCAGAGTGAGTCTGGCTGTCGGCAGATGGTATGGCGTCTGTGTTTATAATAAACACTGCCGGACCAGGCCCAGGGACCAGTGCCGGATCGGACTCACGCCTGCCCCACCATCACCGTCTGGCTACAGTACTGAGCCCCTCTCTGCTCTGTACCGCACGTCCAACGTCACTTCGCCGCCATCAGCTTCACGTCAAGATCCCAGCCATGAAGAAAATCATCAGCACGCACAAGGGAGCGGCGCCGCAGTTTCCTTACAGGTAAGAGGGGATAGTTCAATAATGAGTCTGGCTGTCGGCAGATGGTATGGCGTCTGTGTTTATAATAAACACTGCCGGACCAGGCCCAGGGACCAGTGCCGGATCGGACTCACGCCTGCCCCACCATCACCGTCTGGTTACAGTACTGAGCCCCTCTCTGCTCTGTACCGCACGTCCAACGTCACTTCGCCGCCATCAGCTTCACGTCAAGATCCCAGCCATGAAGAAAATCATCAGCACGCACAAGGGAGCGGCGCCGCAGTTTCCTTACAGGTAAGAGGGGATAGTTCAATATCGGGACTAGTCATCGTATGAACGGAAGTGAAAAGTAGGTAAGCGAAAGGAAAAGGCTCAAGGCATTACGCAACGATTGACAGTTTGTAGCAGCTGCGTGATGAAGGTATTCACATCCATGGAATGGTTAATGAGAGCCGATGGAGTAGCTAGGCAGTCATATGTAAGACGTAACACATTCATCAAATCGTAACATCTGTCAGGCGTCAGTCATGTCCTGTCATGTCCTGTCCTGTACCACTGCGTAGGTTATGACGTCTCAGGTCACACATTGGTGGCGTCACTCTTTTCGGCACACCAAATCAGCAGCCTTTCCGAAAATGTCGTTTCATTCAGCGAGCTGCATACCCTGTTGCCATAATCCATGCCGTCTCCTATATTGGCCTCTCCTTTGGTTCTGTGGCATCTCCTGACTTGACCATGACCTCTATGACCAAATAAGTAGCGATGAGTTCCCATATGACCTCCTCACCTGACCTCTGAGCTGACCTCTAACCCCTGCACGCAGTCAGGCGGTGCTGGCGGACAACACGCTCTACATCTCTGGCCAGATTGGTCTGGACGCGGCCACCATTCAGCTGCGGGATGGGGTGGAGGCTCAGACCCGACAGGCCATGGAGAATGTCGGTCACATTCTGGAGGCGGCCGGCATGGCCTTTACAGACGGTGAGCGACGCTGGGACACTTGAAGAGGTGTCGACGCCTCGTATTTTATCCGTGATCGTCACTGTGGCTTTATATTGACCGGGGAGAGATGAGCTATTATGGCAGTCGTACCATTCGATTGTTTGCTTGATGCACAATTTTCCCATGGTCGTATACCAATGAAGCGAGCATGTCCATTGTCCGTGTCTTGCATGCTGTTCCGCGGGGCAGCTGAGCATTGCGGCACAGTATCCTAGAGATGAACAAATGATAAAAACGATGCGCTGCTGCGCGTTTATATAGTATCAGGCCCGGCCGAATGCATCAGGGAACACCGATCAAAGTTCAAACTGTGTGAATAAATCGGTGCCTTTATGACGTTTCTCCTTTTGCACTTCCAGTTGTCAAGTTGACGGTGCTCTTGGCCGATATGAACGACTTCGCAAAGGTGAACGACGTCTATAAAACCTGTAAGTACCCAACTACCTATCAGGTCACCAGGCAGAAATGTGCATATTGTTTGAAGAGGTTTACCTATGTTTAACAGGCGAGGGTCAAAATGAAATGCGCCACTTAGAACTTGGACACATACCTAACCACATGCCGTTTTGCGTCTGTTTTGCAATAGGTATTGCTTAACGATAGCCGAACATTAGGGTTGTTCAAAAAAACCGAATTTTGGAAAAGTATATGGGCTCATGGCTCGTGTGGTGAGGTATTCTTTTCTGAGTCCAACGATGTCATTTTTTCCGAAAAATATTAACTGCTTCATGCTCCCCAAACGGCTTGAAGAGAAGGAAGTTACGCCCGGCGACCGGCCGGTGTCAGTAAGGGCGAGAATTCGATGCCGCGCGCCGGCGGAGGCGCCTTATCGGCACCGCGCGCCACGACATCTACCGGGCGGCCGGCCGACCGGTGTAAGGGAATGAATGAGTGGTCTTCTTTCACATGATAGGGGTGCGCTAGCCCATATTGTCGGAGTGGAAAGTTTCAGTGCAGCATCGGTACCTCTGCCGCAGTGTTCTGTGTCGATGCCCGATGGTTCAGAAAAAAGCCAAGCAGAACTAAGAAAAGACTCAATGCTTCTGGCTAGATCACTATAAACATCTCGTTTCGAGAATACAGCGCGGCGTTTCACGGCCGCTGCTACCAAGATTGCTGCTACCACGCTGCCGGCAGGCTGACTGACTACATTGTCCGAGTTTGCTGATATCTCCATGGACACCAAATTTGACACGTAGGCTGCTAGCGAGCAGTAATCGCCACGCACTTTGAGATTGTCGATCGATCATGGTTGTTCAATACAAAAGCGCCCGTGAAACAGGACCCAGCTGCCACTCAACATACCATATCGCTTTGTTCATGAGTCAAGAAGCGAACTCTGAGCAATAACACAGCTCTTTGCACTGCTGTCGACAACTTACATTGCTTTTAGACGGTGGCTTGCAGCCCACATATGTTGTTGCCAACGGTATGCGAAAATTTGAAGTTTACTAAGTACAGCAGGAGCTGGCAATGTGCAAGGACAGAATATGGAGACCCCGGCATCGACGTTAGGTTTAACTTACATTAGCACTTAGCAGTTAAAAAAAAGGATGACATGCCCGGGAAAGACGCGGTGGCCGCCCTGACATCGTGACTGAAGTTGGGTGTGAGTAGAGACAATAGCTGGAGTACACATAATGTCAAGCGCCCATCAATCCAACCCTTCGGTCAGCAGCAGCATCAGCATGCAGCCCGGCCATGTCCACCGATGCCGCTCAAGATCCGATCCAGAGACGGCAGAGAGCACGGCTCTGCCCTGACCTGACACATATCCCCGGCGTGTCATGACGGACAGACTATTACCTCGCCTGTATAAATACAATGTATACAGTATACCTAACTTACCTATTTCTAAGTCTCATGTTGAGGCAAGAAGTGATCAGCGTCCAGTTCTACTTCGACGAAGACTCGTATTCAGACCTGGCAAAGAGAGCACGGCTCTGCCCTGTTTCCGCGGCTTCTAATGGTCACATCGATACGAGACATCTCCAATCGTCTGTTTTACCTAACTACAAAACCAGGTTGTTGTGTTGCAATTAGCACGATACAATTGTTGCGTACAGCGTAGATATCTGTTAAATGCGTAATTAATTAGAAATAGGAAAAGTAAACATTGCCATCGTCATTCGCCAAACAGGCGAGGTCAAGCATAAGTCTGTCCGTCATGACACGCCGGGGATATGTGTCAGGTCAGGGCAGAGCCGCGCTCTATGCCGGCTCTGGATTCGGGTCTTGAACGACACCGGCGTAGTGGGCACGGCCGGGCTGCCGGTGCCGCTGCTGGGTTGAGCGACACAATTGATTTATATGTGTACTCCCGCTATTGTCTCTACTCAATTCGTCACACTGTGAGGGTGGACAAACTGTCATTCCCAGACATGTTATCTTTTCTTTCGAACTGCTAATCTAAGTAAAACAAACGTCAATCCTTGCAGCTTGATGAATAAACAAAGCGATATGTTACGCTAAGGAGGCAGCTATATTCTGTAAACGGAATGTTTCGAGTGAATTACCCAGAAGCGTTGGAGTCTTTTCTTAGTTCTGTTTGGCTTATTTTCTGAACAATCGACACAGAACACTGCGGCAGAGGTACCGATGCTGCACTGAAACTTTCCACTCCGACAATATGGGCTAGCGCACCCCTATCATGTGAAAGAAGACCACGCATTCACTCCCTCCCACCGGCCGGCCGGCCGCCCGGTAGATGTCGTGGCGCGCGGTGCCGATAAGGCGCTTCCGCCCGCGCGCGGCGGCGAATTCTCGCCCTTACTGACACCGGCCGGCCGCCGGGCGTGACATGGTCCTCTTCAAGCCGTTTGGGGAGCATGAAGCAGTTAATATTTTTCGGAAAAAAGGGCATCGTTGGACTCAGAAAAGAATACCTCACCACACGAGCCATGAGCCCGTATACTTTTCCAAAATTCGGTTTTTTTGAACAACCCTACCGAACATGACATCCATGACATCCATGACATACGGTTTCCGTCCTGCTTTGAATGACGCGACATATGAGTATTTTGCAAAGGCGTGCAATCGTTCATCACGAGCCTGCGTATGGAAACGGTGAGAGTAAATTCCGCCTGCCGTTAGGTGACGTCATAAGCGATATTAGCTGAGTCGTAATATCGAAGTGTCAGTATGACTCGCCACTTCACGCACCAGTTGCACGCACTGGTGCTCACCGCTCTCATCCATTCAGCTTACACGGCCTGCTGTTTCAGTTTTCACCGGAGACTTCCCAGCGAGAGTGGCCTACCAGGCCGCCGCTCTTCCGATAGTAAGGGATTAGGGAGGAGACATTTTCCGAGCAACGTGAGGAAAATAGTGATTTGTAGGCCGTCTACGAATAACGAAGCTATCATTACACACTAGCCGTCATTCGATTCTTCCCTAGCAGCCATTCTATGCAAACTTTTTCAGCTGTGCAGGTTGTCTGACAAATGTTCACTTTTACAGGGTGCACGTGTGGAAATTGAAGGAATCGCCGTCAAGTCAAACTCCAGCCTGTAGATTATCGAAAGCAAAAGCAGCACGAGAGTCGACAAATGCAGGTTCCGTTTGTATCTCAGCGAACTACATTTAGCAACCCACTGTGCGATGTTCTACGCTTATCGCGAACTAACGCGTTTTCATTCTGATAACGCCCCCAGCACTATTGGCGCTGAATTAAACGGTTCTTCAGATAATAGAATCTACAGAAACAAAGCGATCGCTTATTCGTTTATCATTGACAGTGCATTGACTACGACAATGTAAGACCGATTTGAGACTAGGCGGCTTTAATTGCACGATTAAATGTGATTCGTCACACAAAAAACGATGTGAACTACAAATATACGGTAATATGATTTCCATGCAATGCTTACATACTACCTCTGTGGAGGCGTTCATGCGATTCGAGCTTTCATTTATCTTTCACTTTTTCTTTGTCCTCCACAGCTGGCGAAAAAGCGAACAAACATGACGCTATAATATTTATTGCATATTCACACGACGTCTATTGCATTGATACGTGATGAAAAATACCGCAACATCATTCACAACATTTAACAGCAGATATTAGCGTTCATGCGTCAACTCTGTCTCCAGAGAAAAACTCTTATAAAAAACAAGCACTCACAATATCATGTAACATGTAACTCGCACACTTCATGAATCTGAGCAATTATCGTACCGTGTTTCAGCAGCCCAGAGGTTAGCTCTCATGGGAATACCACCGATATTTCCCATAAAACATCCAATCAATTAACATCCAACGAGATTATCACTGATATTATCCCATAACGTCTTACCAAATAACCCTATGTGATAATCATTGATATTATCAAATAACATCCCAACAGACAACGACCCACGCGATAACCACTATCCGAAACGATCCACTGAGAAGCTCTGTCAGCGTCCCTATGCGTCACTCGCCGTCCCCGCGTTTATGAGGTTCGCCCACACCGCTTCTCCTGGTCAGAGGTGCCCTGTACACCTCCGCATCACGCTCTGGCCAGCCACGCATCATCAGTGAGCACATTAGCAGCGGAGATCACCGAGTGAGACAGAGCGGACGGCGGAACTTCGTCCGACAGGGGCGACAGGTAGCTGTCATCGGGAGCTGCTGGACTGCTCGGAGACGAGTAACTGTCGCCGGAGGCTGCCGAGCTGCTCGGTGGCTGGTAACTGTCTTGAGGAGCTGACGAGCTGCTGGGGGATGAATAGCTGTTTTGGGGAGCTGCCGAGCTGCTCGGAGACGAGTAGCTGTTTTGGGGAGCTGCCGAGCTGCTGGGTGACGAGTAGCTGTTTTGAGGAGCTGCTGAAGCGCTGGGCGGCTGGTAACTGTTTTGAGGAGCTGCTGAACTGCTGGGCGGCTGGTAGCTGTTTTGAGGAGCTGCCGAGCTGCTGGGCAGCTGGTAACTGTTTTGAGGAGCTGCCGAGCTGTTCGGTGGCTGGTAGCTGTTTTGAGGAGCTGCCGAGCTGCTGGGTGACGAGTAGCTGTTTTGAGGAGCTGCAGAACTGCTGGGCGGCTGGTAACTGTTCTGGGGAGCTGCAGAACTGCTGGGGGCCTGGTAACTGTTCTGGGGAGCTGCTGAACTGCTGGGCGGCTGGTAGCTGTCTTGAGGAGCTGCTGAGCTGCTGGGTGACGAGTAGCTGTTTTGAGGTGGCTGGTAGGTGGGCGCCCTCGCGGTGGGCGGCTGGTAACTGCTCACTGCCGGCGACTGGCTGGGTGCTTGGTAACTATTCTGGGGTGCTGGTTTACTGGGTGCTTGGTAACTATTCTGGGGTGCTGGTTTACTGGGTGCTTGGTAACTATTCTGGGGTGCAGGTTTACTGGGTGCCTGGTAACTGTTCTGGGGTGCCTGGTTGGTCGGTGGCTGGTAGGTGTTCTGGGGTGGTTGGTAGCTATTTTGTGGCGCGGCGCTGCTGGGTGGTTGATAGCTGTTCTGGGGAGCCTGATAAGTTGGTGCCTGTGTCGCCGGCGGTTGGTAGGTATTTTGCGGCGCCGAGTTAGTCGGCGGCTGGTAACTGTTCTGGGGCGCTGAGTTAGTCGGTGGCTGGTAACTGTTCTGTGGGACCTGGGAAGCTGGCGGCTGGTAGGTGTTTTGAGGTGCGGGCTTACTCGGTGCCTGGTAACTGTTCTGTGGGGCAGAGTTGGTAGGAGGTTGATAACTGTTCTGGGGTGCCTGGCTACTCGGTGGTTGATAGGTGTTTTGGGGTGCTGAATTAGTCGGTGGCTGGTAACTGTTCTGGGGAGCAGGGTTGGTAGGCGGTTGGTAGGTATTTTGAGGCGCCTGGCTACTAGGCGGCTGGTAGCTATTCTGGGGAGCCTGATAAGTTGGTGCCTGTGTCGCCGGTGGTTGGTAGGTATTCTGGGGAGCCGGGTTGGCGGGTGGTTGGTAGCTATTCTGAGGAGCCTGGTATGTAGGTGCTTGTGTCGCCGGCGGTTGGTAACTATTCTGGGGTGCTGGCTTACTGGGTGCTTGGTAACTATTCTGGGGTGCTGGCTTACTGGGTGCCTGGTAACTATTCTGGGGTGCTGGCTGGCTGGGTGCCTGATAACTATTCTGGGGTGCTGGCTTACTGGGTGCTTGATAGCTATTCTGTGGAGCCGGGTTAGTGGGCGGTTGGTAAGAGTTCTGAGGGGCCTGATAAGTGGGTGCCTGTGTTTTGGGCGGCTGGTAGCTGTTTTGAGGTGCTGGTTTACTGGGTGTTTGGTAGCTGTTTTGTGGCGCTGGCTTACTGGGTGCTTGGTAGCTATTCTGAGGTGCCTGATATTTGGGTGCCTGAGTCGCCGGTGGCTGATAGCTCGGCGCCTGAGTCGCCGGCGGCTGGTAGCTGTTTTGAGGAGCCTGGTACGTGGGCGCCTGTGTTGTGGGCGGCTGGTAGCTATTCTGGGCTGTTGGCTTACTCGGTGCTTGGTAGCTATTCTGGGGTGCGGGGTTGGCGGGCGGCTGGTAGCTATTCTGTGGGGCCTGATAAGTGGGTACTTGAGTCGTCGGCGGCTGGTAGCTGTTTTGTGGAGCCTGGTATGTAGGCGCTTGTGTGGCCGGCGGCTGGTAGCTATTCTGAGGTGCTGGGTTACTGGGTGGCTGGTAAGAGTTCTGTGGAGCCTGGTACGTGGGTGCCTGCGTAGGCGGTGGCTGGTAACTCGGTGCTTGAGTCGCCGGCGGCTGGTAGGAGTTCTGTGGAGCCTGGTAGGTCGGTGCCTGTGTCGCCGGCGGCTGGTAGCTCGGCGCCTGAGTCGCCGGCGGCTGGTAGCTGGGCGCCTGTGTCGCCGGCGGCTGGTACCCTCCCTTTGCCGGGCTCTCCGTCGCTGGTCTGCTCACCGGGGCCTGGTATCCCGGTGAGAAGGTGGGCGGCAGCTGGGCCTCCTTCAGCGGCGGCTGGTAGCTCGGCTCCGGCGTCGGTGCGCTGTAGCTGCCGCCGGAGGACGCGCCGCCGGAGGACCCTCCGCTGGAGGATGGACGCACCGGCGCAGAGTCAAAGTTGATCTTGAACGACTCGAAATTTGGGAAGCTGGGGAAGCTGAAATCGTCGAAGCTGATATCTCCGAAGCCTCCCTTGAGATTGTTGGAGATTGGTCCATAGCTATCGCTGCTTGACTTTTTATTCGACTCAGGTTCTTTGTAGCTAGTCTCAGGCTTCTTACTGGGTTCGGGTCTCTTGTAGCTCGTCTCTGGTTTCTTGTAGCTCGTCGAAGGCCTTTTGTAGCTTGTTTCTGGTTCTTTATAGCTGGTCTCGGGTTCTTTGTAGCTGGTTTTAGGCGCCTCGTAGCTATTACTAGGCTCTTTGTAGCTGGTTTGAGGTGGCTCGTAGCTATTACTAGGTTCTTTGTAGCTAGTCTCTGGCTCTTTGTAGCTAGTTTCTGGCTCTTTGTAGCCAGTTTCTGGCTCTTTGTAGCTAGTCTCCGGCTCTTTGTAGCTTGATGTGGGCTCAACGTAGCTTGTGAAGCTCTTGGGAGGACCATACTCGGACTCGGGCTCTTTATAGCTCGTCTCCGGCTCCGTATAACTCGTCTCAGGCTTTTTCTCTGGCTCTTTATAGCTCGTCTCAGGTTCTTTATAACTCGTTTCCGGTTCCTTGTAGCTCGTCTCAGGAGGACCGTAGCTGGTTTCCGGCGGACCGTAGCTGGTTTCGGGCGCCTCTTTGGTCGGTGACGGCGGCAGGTAGCTGACCTCTGGCTCGTTGCCGGGCTGAGTGTAGACCAGAGGCCGGCCGTGCGGCCGAGAGTGCGGCCTCTGACGGTGTCGGTGCGGCCTGCGCACCTTCTGGGGACGCTTCCGGCCGCGGCCGCGCTTACCGCGGCCCCGCATCGGCTCCGCCAGCGTAGCGTCCACCAGGAGCATGACGGCCAGCAGCAGGCAGAGCAGCACCTGGCGGAGAGGGCGAGGGGTTAAACAGAGCAGAACCTGAGGGAGCGGGGAATGGGGTCAAAAAGAGCATAACTTGAGGAGAGAGGACGGAGGCCAGAAAGAGCAGCACTTGGGGAGGGAGGAGTCAGACGGTGCAGAACTAAAAGCCAGTGTACGACCATTCTTAACACCGTTTTTAAAAGGTGTAAAATCGGAACCAATGACAACCTATGTTTTTCATCCAATATATTTCAAACAGACCCTTGTTTTTTCACCTTTTCCCTCACGCCCTACTGTATTCGTCAGTCAACAAATGGTACGGTGTGGTGTGACCGTGTGGTGAGACTGTGTGGTCAGGCCGCGGTGTGTGGTGAGGGTGACACTTGTCGCCGTTGTTCCGTCACGGAGTCCTAGCGCGTCACTTACGGTGTCACTGTGGCGTCAGTGCGTAGTTTGGCGTGACCGGGGGGAGGGGGTCGAGTCACGGAACACAGAGGACTGATGAAACAGGGGCAGTGTTCTACAGGTCACCGGCACGGAAAATCGTCTCATGGCTCATTCATTTTAACCCTCGCCGGACCTATTGGTTTTCTACATACGCGCCGGCCGAGGGGGGGGGGGCGGGTACGACCCCCCCCCCTCGCCGTTTCGCCCCTGGTGGAGCTAGCGCGTCGCGGAAAAAACGAGCGTGTGCGCCGTTACGAGACGCAGAGATTGGTACCCGATTTTAAGGTCCTAGGTCAACCGGTGACCTCTGAGGTCAGGTCAAGTGCCCCAAGGTACGGTTCAGTTTTTGGTGAATAACTTCGCAAAAAATGGCCGCAGAGCGCCGATTTTGGCAGCATCGTGTTCGTCTCGCTCAGGCGCGTCGAATGATATACTTTTTGTCCGGGTCAGGTCAACTTGGGGTGTTGACCTCAGGTCAAGGTCAGGTCAGCACCCCCAGGTCACGAAGTTGGTCGAAAGAGGTCATGTCGCATATCATTCGATTCGGCAGGTCTTCCTGAGTCCATTGGTGGCTTTCCCGACTCGCTAGCTCAATTTGATCAAGAGTTATTGACGAAAAACGAATATGACCTTGATGACGTCATAAATGACGTCACGCAAGGTCAACATTGCAAAAGTGACGCATCTAACCTTGCAAGGAGTGCATCAAATCACGATTCTGTGTGCTTGAGATAGTTGGAGATCGTTCCCGGCGCCAGAATAGCAGTTTTCATTTTTCCCCATTGACTTATAATGGTGAGGTCACGAAAATGACCTGACCTCATATGACCTTTAGGAAAAATCCGAGATATACAAATTGTGGGACTCATAATGGATACTAGATCCTGCAAGTTTCATTTCCCTGTGACATCTCCTCTGGCAGTGAGGGCGTTGCGAAGTTGCGACATCTGAAGACCGTGCAGAGGTTCACTTATGACGTCATAGGTCAGTGACCTGACCTGACCTAAAAATGCGGTTGGTGTCAAAAGATCCGGCTTGGATCAAACGTCAGGTATGCCAAGTTTCAGCTCTCTATCTCCAGCGTGTTCGGAGCTATCGCGAAAAAACCCTATGGGGGGGCGGCACCCGCCCCCCCCCCTCGGCCGGCGAGGGTTAAAGGTAGACTGCCACCTTTTTTTCACAAAACGGTTTTCACTAGAGCTGAGCCACCTATGTCCCAGACTGAAGTCGGTTTTCCGAAATTCGAACCCGTTTGCGAGAAATCGGAGACCAAAGTTCAGTTTGATGCCATTTTTTTTAGTCCAAGAAAACCGACATCTCTACTGTTTATCGATAACTTTGAAACATGAATTTTCTTATCTTTTGGCAAATATATGTCAAAACTTTGATTGTTTCGAGATCAGAGAAGATTTTTGGAGTGTCAAAATAAAAGTTAAACTTCTATATTCAGTAGTTCATTTTTTCCAAAAAAGTGTGGGAAATGGGGTTTAACATGGGCCAGACCCATTCCAAACGAGCCATGATTTTTAAATGTTTTACGAAGTTAAATGCAAAATAACTAAATTAAACATGGCCAATTTCTTATGAAATCATATATTAGTAGGGGAAGGTGGGGTAAGACGGACCAGCTAATGTTTGAGGCCGCATATCTTGCTACACTGCTCTCGTAATTCATATTATTTATAGTCTTCGGAATGCTCAATCCTTCCTCTGTTGATATGTGTAAAGACTAAATTTCAAATTAAAGACATCTAGGTGGTGGATGCTCTTAAAGAGGGACATGTCAAAAACTCAGACAAGAAAAAACGTGGGGTAAGACGGACCACCCAGCAGTGCCTGCTATCCGTTCATGTGTGTTACACTTCTGCTCTGTACTCTTGTAAGAAAAAGTAACGAGAATGGTAAAATAACAAAATGAGCCTTTATTCTTTACTCATGTGTGATGGAAGTGCAGCTAAAAGCTGGGAACATGTGTGTTGATTGTCGTTTTGCATGAATGCATGCTAACTGAGCACTTGCATGCATGGCTCACATGCAACAAAGACTCCTTCTTGAAAAATTAGCTTACTTAAACTTGTGTCAATGTTTTGGAAAAGAACTTTCCATATGCAGGGTACAATGGACCACCACAGGGTAAGATGGACCACAGTGGTCCGTCTTGCCCCAAATCTAAATTCTGTCATTATCATGATATATATGTCAAATAGCCCAACATTGCAAAACCTTGCCTTTCCTAAAGTGTGACTATAACTAAGTTTATATCTTTGTTCTTCACAGTTCAGTGCAAAATAGAAACTAATCATGCAAGAAAGGTGCCGTAATTGAATCACCCGTAGACGTCTTATATTAGATCGGTTTGACGAAAAACAACATTTTTCTCAATAACTCAAAAGCTATGCATCCTAGCAGCATGAGCTCAAGGTGGCCATTGTTACGAAGGAAAACAAACATAGTGAGTGCATAAAGCAGTAGATACCAGCAGCGGTTCAGCCGGGAGGGCTGGTGGTCCGTCTTGCCCCGCTGGGCCGTCTTACCCCACCTTCCCCTAAATCATAAAATAACTTACTTTTTCAAATAAAATGTAATAATCTTATGACCTTGAAGTCTAGTGATGTGTAAACATTGTCGCTAGACATTAACCGATTGATAATTGTATGATAATCGATAATTTTTTCGCGATTCACGTGATGATACTTTGTCAGGTGAATTCTAAAATTTTGTTTTATCCAGGGAATAAATCATAGGCCGATCTGAGAAAACTTTTTGAAGGTGGCAGTCTTCCTTTAAGGAGTTAATGACCAGTAAACAAATGTCCAGACTGCGACATGACTGATTGACAAAAGACGTTGTTACGGCCTCCCACGGCAATTCTCAAGCTCAAAGGCGTCCTTCGTCAACTTTCCACACGTCACTACCGCAGTGATATCCAAAGACCCGGGCCTGGCTCAACACGCATCGGGGCGTGTTATACGATGGGAGCGACATCACGCTTCCTTGCAGTGTGCGTGATGGTAACGGCGATCCGCCGGGCCACCCGCTCTCATTCTTGGCCATTAAATAGCGGCTGTGCGGGAATCGGTGGCGAGCGCCTCACTCGGTCACAAGTTACACAGTTGTGACGGAGAGAGCTGAATCAGACACCGGTCTAAATGGCGCCACCATGGAAATGCGATGAAGACTTGGAAATGAGTTTCCTCTCATGAGAGATGCTTCCTTATTTGCTCTCGACCATGAGCAGGTCGAAAGGAGGGCAAGTGAATACCAAAACGTGTGACATAACATCGAAGGCTGTGACTACTTGTTAGTCATCAGCAAGTAGAGCGACAGTCCTAAAACCCATGTTTGGAAGCTAGCATTATCGGCACTGGCCAACGATTGTTTGCAGGTGTTCATACTATTCAAACACCAGAAATTTAAAATTGTACTGCTCTGCAATGGTTATAATGCGGTCTGAGGCCCACCACATTATGCTGGGGCGGTGCGAATAACGATGGAGCTGCACGGGCGCAGTGACCTACTCACGTCGCCCATTACCGGTCTTAGATGTAGTGGTGCAGTCCATACGTGAGAAAAACTCGCCGGGCTACGGCTCTGTTACACAAACGTGACAAAAACGTATTTACTAGCGCCGCAGTGTTGTGTTGGCCGGATCGGGCTATGGGTGAAAAGATAAAGTACCCATTGAAAAAGTCATAACATAGGTGAATAGTAGAGCCAGCAATTGATAAACGTCGCAAGCGAAATAACATAACTTCATAATGCAACGGTCAACATAGATAAAACTGGATAAAGACCGGGAAACAATCAAATCTGTCTGTTCCTTACCACATTCACGATCAGAGGAAGGCATGTGAACAGATATAACCCCGGAATACCTCTGTACCAAGACTGATTCGAATTCTTCGGAAAAATAGACGCCGTTCCGGGCATCAAAGATCGAGCCACAAAATGTCGAGTCATGCTTCTCACACAGAAGGAAAAGTGCCACTGAACCACCGAGTACCAGAAGCCACAGAGCTCTAAATGTGGGAAGGACGGACGAGAGCGATCTCTCCCGGTTTCAATCCGTCCGTGAGACGAGCGATTCTCGTATTTTAATGCACCTCACGAGAATTACAGCATTTACTGAAACGCAAGATGAGTCGGACTGTCTGACTTCTCGCATATTGACATAAATGCATCATGGATGGCCTTAGGTGCTAGCAGGCTACATGTATTGCTCCGGCTAGACAGTCACTCACTTTTACTGCTAATGAGGCGCGAGTCGCGTCTCGTTAATTAACCCGCGCCCCGTAGGGGGGGGGCCGAAACGGCCCCCCCTGTCCTTTTCGGTCGATATCTCCTAAACAGCTGGAGATATCGCCACCAAACTTTCAGGACCCCTCCGGGCATCAATTTTACACATTGTGACCAAAAATTTTTCCAGAGGCTATGATAGGTTGGCCACAAATGACGTCAGAGTGACGTCATGTTGTCATTTTCGACCGAAAAAAGACCTTCGCGAGAAGACCTGTCAGGCCTACAGCTTTGAAGATACAGAAAAATGATCAAACATAAAAGGTGTAGAATTGACAGGGCTACAAAACTGCTATCTCGGATTTTTGAAATTAATGAGTTTTGATCCCCAAAAATCAAAAAAGCATTTTTTTTGGATATATTAGCCAAAAAATCCAAAAAGTTTTTTGAGTTTCGAAAAAAAACCGGAATATATGTGATAGTACCTACCGTCTTCTATCTACATACCAAATTTCAGATCGATACCTCGTTTTTTGGCCAAGTTATAGCGAAAAAAACTGGTCAAAAATGATGACGTCAAATTTTCAAACTCAATTTTTGGCAATTGTAGAACTCGTAGAGCAAAACAAAGACCACCATTAGACTCCCCGTGACGAGCTGCATCGAATGGATACCCATTTTATGCAAAAATATTAACTTTGAAATTTGACCTAATTTGACCTGACCTTGACCTGACCTTCACCAAAACGTGACCTAGGCTGGCCCCAAAGGCTGCCTAACCCACATAATCGCATTTGTCATGTAAAATGGACCATAAAACATGTATCACACGACACATTCATATTGTGACCCCCGGTGACCTGACCTCGCTGTGACCTGACCTGGTATCAGTGACCTCAGATAGCAAAGTATGTGTTTGACGAACAATATACCATCGATGGTTTTCAATAAATTATTAATTTACTCGATTTCACAGCACATTTCTTGAATTGCCTGTGAACGGTGAAAATCTGACCTTTGACCTGACCTGTGACGTCATCGGTTTGACCTAGGTCAATGAAATTTGGTCACAAGGTAGTTCCCGGGTAGGGCTATCAAACGCCGTTTGAATTTTGAAAATCGGCCGGTAACTTTCCGAGATCTGAGGGGGGGGGCCGAAATGGCCCCCCCCCCCCTACGGGTGGTAGGGTCCGCCGGTAGCCCTACGGGGCGCGGGTTAAGATAGCCACGCTGCTCACAGCGACAGTGAGTTCAATCGACCGGCACCGATTCAGTTCACTCGTCTGCAGGTCGAGCGGAACACTGAACGGTGCCTCAGTCGTCCTCTGAGACATCGAACAGTGTCTCAGCCTCATATGAGACACCGAATGGTGTCTCAGTATCCACAGAGACACAATCGTAGTCGGTATCTCAGGCCCTTCTGAGACATCATCATCGGGCGGTACCAAGCGTAAACGAGCTTTCAGCTATCCCGACAGCTGCTACCTGCCTTCATCAGACTTCAAGCGCAGGTAAACCACGATCGTTTCTCACCCACCAAAGTTAAAGCGATAGCTTATCACATGACAGGTAGAATAGTAGGGTGGGACACATGACAGAGTGGAAGATGACGGCGGGAATGACAGTGCGTTTCGGTCATGACGACATGACGATGCGTTTCGAGGGTACTCGAATGACGATACAGGAATGACGGTGATGACAGCTGGTAATAGCATGACCTAATGAAAGTGAGTGGTGACTATATTGATGATATATTCAATGCTAATGACATCCATTTGTATCCAGTGTTCAGTGGCTAGCCTTCGCCCCAGTGGGGGGGGGGGGGGGCATATGTTACCACCCTGTCGCGTTTTTCACGTGTGAATAAAAAACCGCGGCGTGTAGCGCCGCGCCGCTTGGGGTAGCTTTTGGTACATCAATTTTGGACAATGTGTGAAATTTTTGACCCCAGGTCATGTCAGGTCAGGTCACCAGGTCAAGTTAACTGACCAAGCCTTAAAAAAAGTTTGCAATCATGTCCAGCCTGCAGTGTTTGTCAGAAAGGTTTTAAACTTGGTGGATTGCATGCTGTTATGGGAGCCTACAATTTGTATATCTCGGATTTTTTTATATCCGTGACCTAAGGTCATGTCAGTGGCATGACCTTTCCATTACAAGTCAATGGAGAAAAATGAAAATGCCTCTAGATCCGTGTGTACGCATAGGAACAGTCCAAATATTTCAGAATCACAATGATTTGGTCCACTCGTGATGACCAATGTGTCATTTTTGCTGATAGCCTCTAGAAAGGTCATCCGAGGTCATTTGAGGCTACAAACAGTTTTTTGCCAATAACTCGCGATTGGAAAGAGATAGAACGCTGGAGATGGTCTCATTGTGTTTGTCTTTTTGAGACGCATCGACTGATATGCAACATGACCTTTTCCGGTCAGGTCATGACCTTGACCTGAGGTCAAATTTTTAAGTTGACCTTTCAAGGTCAAATTATAGTTCATTCGACGCGTCTCGGTGAGGGGAACATGATTCTGGCAATAGAAATTTCGTGGCTTTTTGTAGTCGAAAGTTATTGTCGAAAAACACTTTTCGTAAAAACAGCTATTTTTGGAGTTTTTGCCCTCTGGAGGCTAAACCGTTGACCTGAGGACAATATTGATAATGACCTTTTCAAAAGAAGAGTTCAAAAGCTATCGATTGCTTTTCCACGCGTTTTTCTAGCTACCATAGTTCCTGAGATAGCGGCATGTTTTCTGAAAAATATAATGACAATTGGCAAATTTTGACCTTTGATGACCTCTGGTGACCCCAATATTGCTCTAAGGTGAAAAATGACCGAAATACTTTCAAACGTACGTATTGAGAGCTATCGACTGCTTTTTACCGCGTCTTTCTAGCCCTCTTAGTTTTGAGTTAGAGGTGGGTGGTAACATATGCCCCCCCTCACTAGGGCGAAGTTGGCCGAGACCGCCACTGGGGCGCGGGCTAGCATCAGTAGACATCAGATGTAGCTCAATATGGTCATCGGTCAATTACAGCAATTTGACTTTGACATGCTATGTCGTGGGTTCATACAGAAGGCCGGCTTACATGTAGGTTGTGGATAATGACATGTGTACATAGGTATTGCGCTCAAATGACTGATGCATCAACCTTGCAACACGTAACAGTAGGAATGATTTTCCATTTGAGCATGTCATCAGTCATGCCGAAAAAGAGACACGTGCCGATTATTTTCGCAAATCATCGTTGTTCCCATCATAACAGTGCAATGGCACGTTCGTAATTCACACGACTGCGACGATAACGAAACCCCCAGCCGAGTGTATGAGGCGTTATTGCAGTGTTACGGCTAGGAAGGACGACGGAAACTGCGAGTTTATAAGAACGTGAGACGGCTGGTCGTCCCCTTGTCCACACGGGACCGGGACGTCACATGGATGATCGTGATTTCTCGGAAATGGGCCCAGCATAGGCCAGCTGAGACGTAACTGGGTGGCTATTGCGCAAGTAACTTATTATTTAGGCATCATAAGTTGGGTCAATAGCAATTGCAGCACGTACCCGATCAAGTACCTAACAGGCTGGTAAAAAGACGCCATGCATAAACACATTGGTGGCAAGTGCTGTGACGCAATCCTAACAACTTTCAACTGTGGAGTAGGAAATGCAAACGGTCTCACCAAAAAGGTGACAATTAGCGACAACAGGTATTTTCAAAGGACAGTGGCAATACTTGGAATGCTTGCAGCGCCCCTGAGTCCCTGATACAAACCGGTCTCAATAGCCAGCGCACTTCATAAGAACTGGCACATATAATGATATGACCTTAATCCATGAGGTCATCGGGTTGCTAACAAAAACATCAAGGTACTTACACCGGTTTCGGATCAGAGCATCTGTGCTGCCTTAGATACATCAATATTGGTAGCCAAGTTTCCTTATGAGGACATAAATGTAGGTGCCGACCGATAGATCCTAAGCCAATTCAGTAAATGAGAATCATAGTTCCGTAGCCGGTCCCGTAGCTCAGTCGGAAGAGCGTTGGACTCCGCGAGGTGAGAGCACGCGTTCCCGGTTACAACAGTCCGGGTTCGAAGCGCGACGGGCGCTTGACGTTTATTGGCCTCCTGACAGGTATTGGTTGCGGTTGGTGGCAGGCCGTAGCCAGGCGAAGTCAGTGAGGGACCGGCCGTGCGCTGGTTTGTGCGCACGTTAAACTTTGGACATTTAATTCTGCCATAGAACCGGCATTGCGCGATCGGAGGGTAGAGGACAGGGTCAACGCAACAAGCTTCGCT